GCCGGATAATGACGGGACGTGGTATTTGTCAAGGGGCCGGCTTGGCTGTTAGCGAACAATGGGCCCTATCAATCTCGGGTGGGGATGGAAGCCTCTCTTTCCCAAAAACTTCCCACAACAGGCTTGAGAAAAACTCTGTAGGTCTCCCACCTTCAGTAGATTCCGCCAAACCCAAAATGCGAATATTTTGTCTCCTGCTGCGGCCCTCTAGGTCCACGACTTTAGCCGTTAGCTTGGAGTTGCTCTCTCGTAGGCCAGAGCAAATGTTTTCCAGCTCTGCGACACGCTGACTCAGATCTTCCGAGGCGAGCTCAAGGGATGAGAGACGTTGGCCATGTTCGTCGACAGTGGAGCAGACCTGGTCGAATTTACTTTCCAGCTGGTTGAAAGAAGTTTTAAAGTCAGTAGCTAGCGCCGATCTGTGCTGTTCAAGTAGCTCAGACATAGTCTCCATGGATAAGCCGGCGGTTTGGTCGTCTTTTTTCCCCGATTTACCACAGTGCGAGGTCATTATAAAGTAAGCAAAGGTTGGGGAAAAAAAAAAGTGCAAAGGTAGCTACTCCGTCTGCAAGGTATGGCTATAAATGAATGAGAGAAGAGTGAAGCACACAGGAACTCTCATGCGTCACGTCTGCTCCATACCACCATCGACCGGAAGCCCCACTAGACTTTTTACAGCTCTGTAAAACAGTTAGTACTCATACTGTGTGTATGTTATTACAGTTTAGAAAGTACCTTTTTCTCTTGGTAGAAATATGTGAGAACAGGAAAGCGTCCTTTGCTTCTGAACTTGGAGCTCCCCACAATAATAGGCTTACTGGCTGTGATGGGAACATACAGGTCCCGTGGATATGTCTCACACACCTGGAAAACCAAATACAAAACATATATGCATCACATATGGTATATATTCACACACAGACACAGAATACATGGCAGACACCTCCTGCTTCGTGATCTTCAGTATGACATGCTCTGAGCCATACACATGGTGCAACAAATTCATAAGTCGACAGTTCAACACAATGAATACTACGATAAAGGCTATTCTGTATCTAAACACAGGACAAAACCAGCGTTAATGCTCACAATATTGTGCACTCTCCTGCAAGCAATCCCTTCTTTAAAGTAGATGTCAATTTCTTTAAAAGACAAAACTCTCATTTTGGATTAGAGCCCTGCTTGTCTATCATACTAGAGTTTTAGCTAATAGTGAACATGGGAGCTGTCAGTGAAGCTCTAGAACCTTATTCTTGACCTATTCGTATTAGTCTCACTAATTTATGGTAATGCCCAACTGGTTTCTCTAATGTAATGATGTAATTAAGTTCCTAAATCGTACCACACCCTCAGTCACTGTCTGAACACAAAGAGATGCCGTGCCTCATGTTTGAGCTGGCAAGTCAAGTCAAGATTTTTATTTGCCATTTAAGCATAAACAGACTAGGCATAAAGGAATTCCTGTGCAGGGCTCTCCTGGAGTCAGGTAAGGAGTCAAGCCAAGACAATGTTTATACAAAGCACTCTAAAATGTCAAAACACAACTATACAACATGCTGGTATACACCAAAACTAGTAATCATGCACAATCAACATAGTGCTTACTCTTGGGAACTTCGTTTTAATAGTAGGTGGAGTTTATGGCAGACAGACAAGGTACAAACATTCAACAACTGTCAGTAAATCTAGTTTTTACTGTGCTTGCTTACTATCGTGGGGAGAATAATTCATTTTTTATACCACATTTTCCTTTTGTTATATCCTAGGCATGGACAATATATATTTCTGTTAATACATATTGTCTGTAAATATAATCTGTGGATTTCATTCACTGTGTTCTGACTATATAGCATTTAAGGCTATGAAAAACATATATTATTGATTATAAGTATGATCTACTACAACTGATCACACCTTGGTTGTGAACTTCAACAAGACCTACTATGATGCTGTTGCTATGCATTTAAGCATCAAATGTAACTGAGTAGCAGAAGAGGAAGAGATCCTCCTCATGAGGAATTCCCTTACAAGATACAGCTGACTGTCTACCTTATAGTCTCTGTTGACGTCAGTGAGTTGCCATTGGTCACAGGGGACACCCATCCTCTCAAACTCTGCCCCCAGGTCAATGAGTTGCCATCCTTCCTCTCTCTGCTGGTCGTTCTGTTTGGGGTTGTATGAGAATGCATAGAGCTCCTCATAGGATACTGGACAGAGAAGAAGAGAACCAGAGAGACATGCCTTAATAAAACAGAAATATGAAAACACTATGTGTGTAACCAGTGGATGAAAAGGCTAATAACAGAACGCAGATAGATTGCTAAGAACAGACAAGAATACTGATTTAGACACAGACAGACACACCAGGCCGCAAAAGATGCAGCAGTGAGCTGTAGATGTCATGGCAGTCCCTTTCTCTCTGTACCACAAAATGAACCACTCTAAAGTTACGACACTGGATGACCAGAGGACAGCCTGAGGTGGTCAGGGAGAGCTTTTCCATGGAGGCTATATGGTGATGCAAAATCTGCAGAGAAGTGAGGGGGGGAACAGGACAAAAAGAAAGAGAGAGTTGATTTAGTTCCAGTTGATGTCAGGTTTTAAATCAGGTCTTGTACTGTTGATTTATTTGACTGAATTACTTTTTTTTTAAATCAAATTTTTAACAATTACAGCATTTGACTGAATTCAAGTCCACTTTTATTCTGTTTTCCCACATGCCTCCTGCTACACTTATTAGCTCCACTTGACTTCACTGTTATCTCTCAGCATCGAAGCCGTGAATTTCACCACAAGGGGGTGTTTTTGACATACAGTCAACAGCCTTTGCAACACACACACACAGTGGTGAAGAATATTTTTTAAAAATTCCTGGATACAAATGATGATGTGGATCAGCACCAAAAACCAAGCCAGGCAGAGGTAATGAGTGTACTCAGCACCGTATCAGTTCCACAGGATTTCCTACCATAGAGGATCATAAAGATGAACATTTACCACTGGTAATGACTAGTGAAACATCCACACAAACACATACACACATTGTGTTAATCTCACCAGCAGCTGAGACAGATATTAACTCAACTGCAGTTTAATATTTTATTAAGGTACAGCAACTCTGTCAAACTCCCTCACTCTGACCTACAGACTGATTCTAAATTGCCTCCACAAATGCTGACACATAGATACATGCATGCATACTACCACTTCCTAAAAGAACCAAATACCAAAAAAGATTAAAAAAAAAAAATCAGTGGACAAAAGCAGGAAAACCATGCCACAGCAGATTAAGCCAATAACGCAGAATTTCTCATTTTACCAGTTATTTTAAAATGTAGCCTATTATTATAAAAAGCAGGGGTCCCTAACTCCTCCACACATATAGTTCATACTAAAAGTGAAACAATTAGTCAAGTCCCTTTTTCATACAGAAAGAAGGCTGTGGTCCACCAGCTACAACCTGGTGGATAAACAGCCACAGAGTAAAATAAAATGTTCCCCTTTCTCAGCAAATAAAGCAGGAAGGACAGTGGGGAGCAAGTCATAGCCTGGGATCTGCTACACAAAGCATTTTATACCATGCCAGCATTTCTACAATGCAGACCAGCCTCTGTGGTTGTCTGCAGTACTATTTTCACTACATCATATAAAAAGATCAGAGAGGTACAGTGCCACTACGTAGACAGAGATAGCGAAATATGATGTTCAACCCAGTGTTCAGTGTCAACGGGATTCTGCTGATGCCAGTTAATTGGGCTGTATGATATGTATAAAATTATAATGACAAATCACATTTGAACTACATGAGGCCAAAGCTCGCACACATCATTTCATAAGGACAAATTCCCAGTAATATCCTGTCTTGTATGACTGTCCTAGCCCATTACAACAGTAATCTACATCCCCTGTTTAAGGTTCTTTCTTCCCCACTTCTCCAATTCCTACTGTATAATGGGGCTTTCAAACCTGAACCCTACTTCCTCTTATTACACAAAAGCCTACAAATTCTCTCCTTTTGTCCTAAATGCTACCTACACACACACACATACACATTCCCACTGTGTTACAGACGTCCTCCTGCTTTGTGTTGCTGCAGACAGGTAACGCCATCACTAGGCATTAACTGAATTTCAAACTGGGAGTGCATAAATACGATATTGCAGACTTACAAAAGTAAATGAAAACATGTCTGTGTTGTCAAATGGGTATTCACAATAATTAGTGTGCTTCACAGTGAACCATCTGGGGCATGTGGAGTCAGAGTCACAGGGGAAAGTGTCTACGCTGTGGAAGTCCTCCCATTCTGCATCCAAACTCTCTTCACTCGTTTTGATAAATCATGTATTCATTGAGGTTACATCCAAATCTTATGCGAAAAATGTGAACATTAAAAAAAGGGCTATGAATTAGGGAGTCACTGATACCACTTATTTCAGACCAAGTACAATTACATACATTTGAGTACTCGCCAATACCGAGTACCAGTACAAGTACTTACAAGTTGACTGTTTAGTATTGTTTTTTTTGTTTTAGTCGATAGATATGTCTATACTGTGCAGCACTTTGGGCCCTTCTGAGTTGTAAAGTGCTATATAAATGCTGTTTATTATTAATAAGAATGCAGTGTTTCTACTACAAAAAACTTTTGTGATTATGATTGTGATTAAATTAAATATAACAGGAGGCTGTGCAAACTTGAAATCTTTGTGATAAATGCAGTACCGCCACTATTCCTATTGAATATAACGTGTAGCTGACTGAATGTTTGTAGCTTACTATACACCATATTGTGCAAAATATCCATGGACCACGGAAATTTCTTCTCCATCTCCTAACAAATGGCTCAGCCAGCGGGAGGTTAATGTAATGCATAGTATTGGACAGCTTTTACGAGAATGAGTACAATTTCTAGAGGACTCAATACCCAATACTGGTATTATCGGTGCATCCCTACTGTGAATGACATGTAATACTGGCAGATTGCAGTCACCACCAGGGCTACTCACCCAGACCTCCTGTCCGGCAGAGGTCGAATTGTTAGCGCTACTCTCCACAAAGATGAGATGTGTAGCTGTGAGGTACAGTGTGCCATTTGTGATTTTGTTGCTGAAGCGATCCAACAGCCGCACCTGCTCCACCTGCAAACACACAAATGGCAAAAATTTCAACATTAAGCAACAGTTAGTTGTCTGTGGTAAGGTTAAACTATTAAGATATTGGTAAAAGGAATGACACCTGGAACCAGAGCCACACCACCTAATCCTGACCACCTGGCATTCACATATGGTAAATGGACTGTATTTATATAGCGCATTTTTCCACAGTGTGTTGCACTGGCCAAAGCGTTTTACAGGAGATGATACACCATTCACCCATTCACACACAACATTCACACCGATGATGACAGGCTGCCACACAACGGCACTAGTCAAGCCACCGGGAGCAATTCGGGGTTCAGTGTCTTGCTCAGGGACACTTAGGCATGTGGGGATACCGGGAGTTGAACAACCAACTTGCTGGTCAGGAGACAACTGCCCTACCTTGTGAGCCACAGCCACCACACGTATAGCTGCTACTTCCATTATAAGGAATCGTCACAAATGATTTCTGAACAAGGAAAGCAAGCTCTAACAAGGGTGGCATGGCAGAGCAGTGGTTAGCGCTGTTGCCTCACAACAAGAAGTTTCCAGGTTTGAGCCTCAGACAACCCAGTGCTTTTCTGTGTGGACTGTGCATGGTGACTCTAAATTGTCCGTAGGAGTGAATGTAAGTTTATGTGGATGTTTGTCCATGTGTCAGCCCTGCGATAGACTGGCGATGTGTTCAGGGTGTACCCCACCTCTCGCCCAGTGTCAGCTGGGATTGCCCCCCCCGACCCCCCTCTTCAGGATAAATGGTACAGATAATGGATGGATGGAAATCTAACAATGGTAGTGGCCCTTTATTTAACCAAACATTACCACCTCAATTCAAACACAATGCTTACATATTTTTCATTTTTACCATTTATTCAGTGTATTGTGTAAGACAGATGGGTGTAGTCTTGTTATGTAGTCCTAATACTTCCATGCACATAAACATACATACAGTAAACACTACATTTCCTCAAGCTGCATTTACCTCTCATGCAAAAAAAGACTGTGGTCCATCAGCTTTTTTTTTTGTTTTAAACTACAAGTCTTAACAAGATCAGTCCCAACAGTACAAACAGATGGGCTTCAAATACATGTGGAGCCTATGGTGCTGCATACCTCTCAAATCCCTTTTAAGCACTGAAATCCTTTAGAATAACAGTTCTCCTTACTGAAAAAAGTATACTGGTCTTACTAGTGTGGCCTTCGCTCTGTAGTCAAAAGACTGAATTGCTGCATTTGGTCTATCTACTGCTGCTACTATCTGTCTAAATGTGTGATTCATCACAGTAGAGGTTCTTATGCTGACTTAGACTTCCTTTTCTTTATTTTCTTTTTCCTGCCGCTCTCAGATATGATGAAACTGTTAAGCTCTGCAAAAGGCATCGTTCTTAGCACACACAGGAAGTCAGGGGTATGCGTGAATGCGTTAGTGACAGAAGGAAAAAGAGATCTCATTAGACCCAATCTAATCAAATAAGCTTATGCTTCCAAGTACTTTATACATAGCTCTGACCCACCACATAGCCAAAATTGTATAGTTTGAATCTTATTAAAGCCGCATCACCTAATTTCTGATACAGCTTGACCTTTTTATTATTATTTCATTAAAGTAAAAGCACAGATTTGCCATTTCTTCATAGCAATAATCACCTCCTGTGCTGCTTTATTCAAGCAAACAAGCAGGGGAATGTTGGAAGCAGGACCACACCCTGTATGCTATCAATCACATCAGCCTGATCCCAGTGTATCCTCATTCTAGTGGCAATTAGGTTACCTAATTTATAAGCATCCTTAAATCTTAAAAATAGGTTACAATCCATCATAAATACACATACTAGGAAAGATAAAGCCTAAAACATGTTACCAGCTTGTGGGCTACAGAGGCCTATGTAGAAGATGTTTGAGAGGTAAATGTTAAAGGAAACCCATAAAACATAAACAGTACAGTCCTTCAGTATGACAATGTAGTTACAGCGCTGCCATTTCCGCTTTAATCTGAAAGTATGCGCATCCCCATTGCATGAACAGTGAATAAACTCCAGTAGCACTATAATATCAATCTTCAAGTCAAGATGGGTCTTTTTGCCTTCAGCCTGGTCTTCAGTAAGTGGATGATCAGGTGACTGACTTGGCCAGTCAACTTCATTCCAATGGTTGGCAAATTCCAGTCACTGGTTGATTTGGGACATCTGATGATAAAACAGTGAGACTTAGGCTACACTGTACAGTAGCTTGGTTTCTCCTTCTTATGTTTGATCACTGGATGCATCGAATGGCTTGAGAGCGTAACGTTACCTTGATCAATAACAGGGTGTGCAAGTAATAAAATTACAAAGAGGAAACTCAACTATCAGCTGCACGGCAAACGCAAACAACTCATCGATGCTCGTCACGTCTGACGCCCCAAGTTGCTAACGCCACCTGCTAGCCGTCATTGCACTATGTTGATCCACACAATATAAACATTAGTAAACATTTAAATGTTGATATCTGGCAAACGTAGTACTGCAAAACCTCCAAGGACAAGGCCGAACAATTGAATGTATCCAGTCCATTTGCAATTAGCAAGAAATGTTAGCTACCTTTGGCGTTCGGATATGCTCCATTTTTCTGTATCGGAACAGCTGTCAGCGACTGTAAAGCTTCAAACGACGTCTTCCGGAGATAAATGTATCATTGATGATATGATGCCTAAAACTGACACACAACAAACTGTTCTTACTTATTTATCGAAGGCATACGATGTATGCTTATTTTACCCCTACATCTGCGTAAAGCCCTTGGCAATCACGTGAATACTACTAGCTATATGGTGTTTTCAAAATAAAAGTCAAGTTTAAGAAGGTTTTTAGATAGGACGAGGAAATGGGAATTATATTCACCCAAAAAATTGGAAACCGGGGGCATTAACTCGCAATTATGACTTGCTATTTAATAATTATTATGTAAATACGCTATTGGTATGAGTTGCACTGTGGGCTGCAACTTGGGGCCCATTATTTAGATAATTTTTTAGGCTAAAAATTAATTTTTACTATATAGCCAACGGACAACTACTTCATTACTGTGATGCTGACAAAGTTTTTAAAATCTGATGATTCTCACGCAAATGCTGAAGCGTTCCAATTCCTGCAACCTTTCTCCTTATTAAGATCCGGCTTTCATGATCATGCTGTACTTAAGCTATTCGATTTTTTTTTTCTCTTTTGTGAATGCAATGCGCTTCCGTAGTATGTCCCATTGGTCTAAGCTATCATATCTTGTCCAGTCTCAGATTTATATTTTGGAGGAAACGCCGGAATTCACTATGCAGTGCTTTGTCATGATGAACGATATTTATTGGAAGCGTCCAAAAATACCCCGCCTCGACCCGGAAAATGAAATAAAATAAATTAGCTGTATATATCGGAAATCTAGATCCACGCTCCATTCTAGTAGTGGCAGTAATGCAATGTTTTGTGTGTTTTTGACAACCCCAACTGAAGAAGAAGAAGAAGGAGAAGAAGGCTCCATGGTCGTTCAACACTCCAGCCCGGCAGGTGGTGGTAAGGCAATTTACGTTTGCTTGCAAACCGCCTATAAGCATCGGAAGAAGAAGCAGAAGGGGCTTCTTCAAAAAAATTGTTTTAAGCGGTGGGATGAACTTTAGTTCACCGGAGGTGTTGGGAAAAAGAAAGGTATTGCAAACACTTCAGGAGACATAAGGTACAGATCCCTTCTTAGGGTTTTGGAGAGTACAGGGCTAGGCAAAACAATATAATGTGAATTGAGTGGGGTTTTTTTGTTATAGTAGTAGGTAGGGACCGTTCTGATCCACACTCCAGTCTAGAAGGTGGCGGTAATGCACCTAAAGATGTTTGCCAACCGCCATTAAACAACAGAGGAAGAAGAAGAAGAAGTGGTGGTAGTAGTAGTAGTAAAAAAAGAAGAAGAAGAAGACCAATACCCAGAATTCAACAGTATTCAGAAAAATACCATGAAAGGTGGAGTAGCAGCGTGTTTGAGTTCTTCCTGAAGTGGTTGTTGCTTTTATTTTTTAAACGATCGAATATTACGGGTTGTAGTGGAAAAGTTCCGGACTTATTTGGAAAAGTCGACATTTTTCTTGAAGTATGTTTAGTATAAAGAGAAAACCGAGGATTTGGTCCTTGCGCGGGATCTATCAAAGCTAATTTTAACTAGCGCCTTTGCGCTTTGTTGCTCACTGAGTGTCTCCATGAATGACATTAGAATTCCAGAAAGTCAGCTGGTGTTTAATGTTTGTCTCTTAAGATAAAATGTCTGGATTTAACTTTGGATCAGGAACTCTTGGTTCCACCAACACGGGTGGAGGATTCGCATTTGGAGCCGTAACCAGGTAAGCACGTTTCAAATAACGTTAGCCGACTTAGCCAAAGTGAACATACCCACGGTTAACCTGACGTTAGGTAATGCGATTTTTCGGCTGAGTGTCCGTACGTTGTGGTGAGAGGCACATAAACGTTACTATTACGACAGATGCCAATATGTTGGGTGGGCATGGGGGGTGTTGCCGGGACTAGCAAACTAAAGAAAAAGGTTGTTACTACCGCAAACCTTTTAACGTTACGTGCAAAGCACTTGTCCGTTGTTTAACTGTAAAATAATGGTATCACGATTTCATGTTGATGTTGTTGGGGGAACGTTATATGTAAAAAGTATGATGTGTCAGGTTTTTACCTGAATGCCCTCTTAAAGTTATGTACTTTTAATTATGCCTGTGTTTTTATTTGGTGGTAAATCTCTGTTTCTCTTGTATTTCTGTAAATCTGTTTGCCCAACATTTGTTTGTAAACGTGCTTTATTAATGAATTAATAAAGCATTGTCTATTTGCATTGTTTATACTGTTTATTTTGTTGTACTACACAGCCTTATGTTGGTTTACTGTTTTCTTGCCCCTTGCTGTTGCCTTGCATGGGGATATGTACATGCACATTGAGAGCTGCTGTACCAGGGTCAAATTCCTTGTGGCCAATAAAGCTGATTCTGATTCTGAAATTGTATTGGATTGACTAAATTGCAGTCTTTTTTTAAATTGAGAATTAAGAATTTACAGTAGACAACACAATTTGCCTTACTGTGCCAATACCAGATTATTTTTCCTTCTTTATTTCTCTAGTTCAATCTGGTATCATGGAAGAATGTGATCATGTGACTGGATTTACTGTTTTTCTTTTCCCATTAGTGCACCAGGGGCTAGTACTGGTGGCTTCTCTTTTGGGTCTGCTCTGGCTACACCGGCTGCCACCTCAGTCTCCACCGCCAACAGCACCCCATCTCTTGGCCTAGGAGGCAGTCTGTTTAGTCAGAAACCTACTGGAGGATTCTCTTTCAACACACCTGCCTCAAGTAATAATAGCACACAGTTTCTATGCAAACTCGCTGGCAAGCAGTGAAATTAAGTACTGTGTAGTTAACATAATGGCCAGCTGCAGCCATACACTTTGTCTGCTATGATTTTGTTGCCTTTCACGTGCTGCTGCACCCATTACAGGCCTTGCAATAAATTTAATTCAATTCAGTTTTATTTGTATAGCATCAAATCACAAAAAAGTCATCTCAGGGCACTTGACATATTAAGGTCTGGAAATTATTATTGTTGTTGTTATTACTGTTATTGTTGTTGTATAGAAAAACCCAACAAATCCACCTTGAGCAAACATTAGGTGTGTTTATGTTAAGTAAGGTCTTGGAAAGATTATTTAAAAGGTTATAACTGTTTTATTTATACATTTCTCTCAGGTGCTTCGGCTACTACAGCTTCTTCCACAGGCTTTAGTTTGGCTTTCAACAAGCCCACTGCCTCAGCAACACCCTTCTCCCTCACCACCACCACCACCACTACTACCACACCCATGTCAGCCCCTTCTGGGGCAGGGCTATCATTTGGTTCGATCCTGACATCCACAGCTCCACAGCAGCCTGCAGCCACAGGTTTTACCCTTGGGCTTGGTGCCACAACGACCACCACAGCAGCCTCAACAGGCCCTTCAATAGGTGGGTGTCTCTTCTCTAGTCTGACCTTATCTCCACACAGTCACAGTGCTGGGAGCTCAACAAAACTGCAAAATATTATTGTATGTTCTGTTTTAAAGACAATAAATGTTTGCAAGGGCAATACAAAATCGTCGTCGTTGTTATAGAGGAAGCAATTGATTAAAATATTTGTATTCTTGGGGAAAGTGGGTAAGAAAAGTGGTTGTGACCTTTTCATAGTGCTGTGACTTCTGTTGTACAAAGAGGCTACAATGATTTACATTCCTGTTTGAAATTGATACAAGTGCATTAAATTTGACTCAACAGTTTTCACTGAGGACTAAAGATACATGTTTACTTGGTGTTGCAGGTTTGGGCCAGACCGCTCTTGGAGGAGGTGGGTTAACGCTGGGTTCTGTGTTAGCTTCTTCCACAGCGGTGTCAGCAGCCCCTGCCCCCAGTATTGGCCTTGGTGGAGTTGACTTTAGCACTTCTGCTGAGAATAAGAGTGACACATCATCTGGAGCCAATGCGCAGTATGTCTTGATGACAGACACAAATGTTGTTCTTTAGTAGTGGAAATATTTGAACAGCTTTCCAGAACTGTTCATGTTGTAATGATTAATAACACTCTTCTTCTACTTCAGGGACAGTAAAGCTTTAAAAGATGAGAACCTACCCCCAGTCATTTGTCAGGATGTCGAGAATTTCCAGTAAGTGTTTTGTATGTGTATTTTATTGTGACAGGAATTTAATGTCTGTTGGGTCATAATCCTGGTTTATCAGCAGTGCAAATGCTTCAAAAGAGATGTGGCTAATTTGGGTTGTGTGTTGTAAACATAGCTAGGAGGATCATAATTATTTATTAGGTGATTGTGGCAATTTACTCCAAATTAAATCAAATTGCCATGTAAAATTCATCATTCACACTTGATTAAAATACAAATACTTATTATTAGCGAACTGAACGCATTGCTAAAAATGATTTGTGTTGTCTAATTCTTTGTTCATTTATAGAAAATTTGTGAAAGAGCAGAAACTGGTCCAAGAGAATATAAGCAGGATGTCATCTAAGGCTATTTCTAAGGTCCAGGATGACATCAAGAGCCTCAAACAGCTTCTGTCTGTCAGTGCCAGTGGTCTGCAGCGCCAGGCTCTGGCTATTGACAAGCTAAAGCTGGAGACAGCGCAGGTAAAACCAGTGTGGCTCCACACATAATCATAGATGTCAAATTAGTTCTTAGTTCTGATTGACAATTTTTTTTAGTTGTAGATCCATTGTCATATAATGGTTGGCAAAAAAAAAAAAAAAACACAACGTACATCACATCACATATTTGCATGACAATAGGTCTCAATTAATGTGGGGGTCTTTTTGTGTACATATTGTTGCTTAGTTCCAGTCACAGTATAGATCGGACTCACTGAAAACGTTCCAGGTCTAAACCAAGATCGATATGTTGTATTTTCCCAAAGATATAGCCATAGACAAATGTAGTTCTTTCAACTTAGACTTGAAATGACAGGAACTTAATATCTAGGTTGTTAACCTCATCTGCTGCTCACACCTCATGAGCTGGAATGTGGGAAATGATCTCCTAAAATGAGCCCTGACAATGTAGAGAGAGGCTTTTTAGAGAAATTTGACATTCCTATTTCCTCTCTTTTTAAGGAGCTGAAAAATGCTGACATAGCACTACGTACACAAAAGACACCGCCTGGACTTCAACATGAGAACACTGCTCCATCAGAGTATGTATGCTACCAGATAGTAATCCCAAAACAAATCAACAGCTGTTGTGCAGTAGTGTAGTCAGATCACTTTGGATAGATGAGCCTTTTTATGTTGGACCCAGATTTAAACTTTAACTTTGGTTAATTCATTGCAAGCTATTCTTTAGTTCTTCTGTGTGTTAGATGTTATCACATCATATATTCAACAAAGATGAAAACATGTGCACTTGTTCTGTGGTTAGTTATTTCCACAGCTTGGTGGAGCAGTTTGAGGTGCAGTTGCAGCAGTACCGGCAACAGATAGAAGAGCTGGAGAACCACTTAACAACGCAGAGCAGTAGCTCTCACATCACTCCTCATGGTAAGAGGACATTTGTCTGACAACTCTGGAAAGTAAGCGTCTCCTTCCATCTTCAGATTTTAAATCAGCCTTAATCGATGATGTGTATCTTTTGTTGTTTTGTTCCCAGATCTGACCATGGCCATGCAGAAGTTGTACCAGACATTTGTTGCACAGGCTGCCCAGCTCCAGTCAGTCCATGAAAACGTCAAGGTCAGTACTGTACCTTCAGCTTTGTCTGACAACTTGGCATTGTGTGAAAATTTGCTAAATAATCTCTAGGGCGAGGCATTTCTCAGCCATATTCATCAGCTTTAAACTGAATAAAATGTAATGATACCTTACTGTTAATTCTAAAAATGTATATTCTCCAAGTTGTCAAGATTCAACACAAGCTTGTTCTCTTTTTTTTACAAATCTGGGCTACATGTTATTTGCATTCCTTTTTTTTCCCCCTTTTGAATTGTAGATCTTGAAGCACCAGTACCTTTCCTATCGTCGAGCCTTCCTGGAAGATGCCACAGATGTTTTTGAGTCCAAACGGGCATCTAACAGGAAGTGGAGTTCAACCCGTGCCACAACTGGGCCTGCCCCGTTTTCCAGTGTGCCCAACGCTGCCGCGGTTGCCATGGCAGCCACGCTGACCCAGCAGCAACAGCCAACTCCAGGTCTGACTGCCTACAAGTACTAGAACGTTCTCCTCCTTTTCACCTTGTTTAAGAGAGCAAAGGAGGGAGAGGAGGAAAAAAGTAAAAAATGTTTAGAGGTCAGGATGTTTTAAAGTGTGCTTTAAAAATGAAGACATTGAGAGCAGAAAAGTCAAACGGGGATAGAGGATGATTTAAAAAAAATTCAAAACAAAAAGCCTTAGCTGGTGCCAAATTAGTCTGTACTTTCTCCAGTGAAAGAATGGAAGTTCAAAAAGAGGGAGAGATGAATGAAATCTGTTCCTAAACTTGGACAGGAAACCTTCATGCTGCCTTACCATCTTGTCTCTGACTGTTTAAGAGTGACACATGTATCTAATGCACCTTACAACACCTGAGTGAGGACATTTTCTAGATGGCTCTTATGAAATGAACCCCAGAATCTTGCAGAGTTGGCACCAAGTCTGTACGCTTGAGAATGCCACACAGACACTTTCAGTAGTACTAGGGATATAACAAATTCCTTCACCTAATTTCTGTTTCTGTGCGCCCTCTTTAAAAGATGTTAGTGCAGGTATATGAGGTGGAGCTAACATTATTGAAGAAATGTGGTAATGGGAGAGAAAGTCCAGCTTTCTTGCTTTAGTTCACTCAGATCTAATTCGAGCTTTAAAATCTCATCTGGGTTGGGATTTTTTTTTTTTTTTTTACTGGAGGCTTGAAATGAGTACTCAATGAAGATATAATTGGTTTAGAAACATTAGACATTTGCTGTGTGATTTAAACTGTTTAGCAAACATTCTTTTATGGCTTTAGATAAGATTTAGTGCATCATGTAATAAATTATTAAAATGTAGCTCCCACTCTGTTCATTTCAGGTGGCCTGTCCATGTAGGGAACCTCTAGTTGATAAGGTGCTCAGTGGCATCAGCTCTAAATTGTCGTTTTTGTTAACTGACATATGCAGCATCTCTTCTAAAGGGTCTTACAAGTTGTAGGCCCATTTTAGGCCAACACCCACATTTTAAAGAAACTGTATTCTCTAAATAGATAAACCTATGGCTTATGTCAGCATGTATTATAAAGCCAGTTCTATATTATAGAGATTGTACGTTAGGTTACCAGAGAATAAACTGAGATTCCTCATCTTTTTTTCAGTGGGATCGTCATAGGAGAAGAAATTCTTTTAAGCAAATGTAAATACATAATAGTAATGATTTTACAATAATCACAGCACACAAAATAATTAACATATTATCCTCAACAAGAATCTGCACACAGACTCTTCAAGCCACGCACACATCTCTGACTGTCAATCTACACAAAACCAACAGGAAATCACATAAATGAACACTGTCAAGTAACAGGTAAACAAGAAATAAATACATCTGAGCAAATAATTCTAGTCTGCTGGAACCTTTCCATTTTCCACCAGATTGGAAACAAAACTATCTTACAAAAGGAGCAATATGATTACACACACTGCTTTGTCAGAGATCTGTGTCACTTCACAACTCAGTGGCACACAAATGAACTTTTATTAAACATTTCAAATACCTTGAAGAGTAGTGTCCTTACAGTGAACAAGCTAAGCTTTCTATATTGTTAGCATGTTTCAACTTCTTTTTTATTTTATTCTTGTAAACTCAAAACTTTGAAAGCAGTATTTTAAATTGGATGCAGTTGGAAAGGCAGCACGATTTGAAAATGCTTCCAGGGCAAATTACAGAAACCTACATTTCACTGGTCATTCGCCAGTTTCTGCAGCTACCTTTTTGCAAAGATCGTCACATTTGCTCAGACTGTTACCAAATCAGATCTGTTCACCAGGCACTGAATATGGCTTTTTTTCCCAGTGTAAACGTATTTGAATGCTCACCTACCTTTGATGGCTTAGTGGGTTTATTACAAGCTATTCTACCATAAGTATCTTGCTCATTTAAGTATCCTGAGCAGGGATGGGAGTATTTTATCAATCTATTGCTTAACCACAGTTTGTTGAAAAGTAACTTCACAAATGAACCCTGTTGTCACAGTAGAGAAGATCTGCTTCTCTAATGAGAGTGTAAAGCTCATTAGTTGTCTTGTTAAAGATTTTTTTTGTTGTTACTTTCTGGTTTTTTTATTTAATATAAAGCCAAATTGATTTCTTGTTGTTTGTTTATTGAAATCCAGTGTCTATGGCTATGCCAGCTGTCTTATCAGGCTGCATTTCAGTTTTAAATCAGCACTTATTACTCATAACTCTGTAAATCTGTTAACCTCAGAGCTACTAGGTTACATGACAGCTGTTTTTAATGTTAATAATGGTAAAATTTAGTAAAGCTCCCATCCCTACTGCCAAACAGTGGTTATAGTATTTAGTACTCAGTCATTTTATAAACAAAGCTTAATCACAAGCAGATGTCTTAGTTTCTTTAGTATTTATTTGCCTATTTATTTCTATTTTATTTTTTGTTTTTGTGTGTAACTTTGTCCATAATTGGAACGGCATAGTGGAGGATGGTCAGTATCACAGTAAATGTAACACTAACCATGAATCTGGCTGGCTCTTGCTTCAGGCAGATTCTCCTATGACCCATATAGTTGTCAGTGTGGTGTGGTGGTGTAGGTTAAAAGCTTATTCAGATTTGTGCCTCAGTTAACAAAGTGAAAAGTGCCAAAAATACTCAGGACTGAAAACAAATTAATTACCTGAACTGTCAGTTTGAACTAGGACTTTTTTCCATTACTGTATTTACTTGATCTTGAAGGGGAAATGAGGCTGATAACTTTGATACAGCCCAGTTTTTTGTCACTTATTACAGGCTGAAATGAGCCACTGTGCTCGGTGCGTTTGTGTGTGTGCCTGCGTGTTGCGAACAATGAGCCGAAATTGGTGGACGACATTGAAGGTTAATTTACATATGAGAAGTCAACAGTAACAAAAAATGTCTGCATTATCTCACAGTTCAATACTATAATGCATTTTGTTGGTTTGGCTGCATGAGGCCATAGCGCTGTTACTGGGTCTAAGCTATTTCACCCAAGGGCTACTGTTAGCGTAACAGGGCTGGATCATTTCATGTTCAGTTCAGTGAACATGTAGAGTTGAACGTGCTGTTCACAAGTTGTAATTTCAGGTATATTTTCCAAGGCAGTGGTACTTTATATGGACCTTAGGTTGAGATACATTTCTTGATTGTGTCAAATCTTCCTTGTTGACATCAGTGTCTTTTGTAGTTCAGCAGAGAAGAATGTTTTTTTTTTTTTTTGCTGCTCACACTGGTCCTTCAGTACCAGTAAGATACATTGGTGCCAAAAGAAACAGGTGAGTGTGGTCAGACTGTATGTCCACATCTCTTCGTTGCATGGGGAGTTATTTCCCATTGTTTCACGGTGAGAAGATAACGCTCTTTGACGTAGATACTCATGAGAGCGCAGTATGTTTGGCACTCAGTGTGGACAGAAGTTAGTTCATTCTCCAGCATTGATCTGTATATTGCTGCTAGTTACAGTGGTGCTTGGTGAACCCTACTTAATTGATTCTTTCTTAAAGAAACTGCTGAGTGCTAACTGATGGGTGGCTGCTATGGACACTCTAGTCCTCTGTTAATTTAAGCAACTCTAAACCTTTTTGTAGGATTGAGATACAGCTTTGGAGCGACTGGACACCTGTTAGCTGGAGTCCAGTGTTTTCCAGAATAGATCTTTGTGTAGTTTAGTTTATACTCAAACAGAGTTGTCTTCCAGATCTCTACAGCCGTACTTGGCGCAATAATGACTATTGAAATTCAAAGCTGTTTGGACCTTGAAGGTGATGGTGGATATCTAGCTACCGTGTCCCTGTACGTTGGGCGTCTTCAGTGTCTGCCAGTTATATGTGGAGATGCTGACTGCTATATTTTCTTGAACACTATTACAACAGCAGGAGTGATCCCATTTACCTTTTTTAAACAAGTGGAGAAATTTAAAATGTGATTATATATAATATTTTTCCCTTTTAGATGTTTGGCACAGTACCTACACAGTACCCTAATTTACCTATAGTGTTCAGTTCAACCGGAGTCATTCTGAATCTCAATAACATTGTGTATATAGCATCTTTCTATTTCTATATGATGTTGAGCCTCAGCGCAGCAGTTCACCAAAATGGACAATAGTTGAAAATCAGTCTGGTTTTTTGAGCAGCTGACTGTTAAGGACTGTTTTGAATGTTCTTCTCTCAATCATTTCTTTTTCTTTATCATACACTTACATCATTCCCCCTTTCTGTAGTGTTTTTGTTTTTCTGTTGGTGGTTTCCAGGAGGTACTACTGTCGCAGGTTGTGATTTTGGGGCGTGGGGGATCTTTGTAATGTCTGGCGAGCTACACATTATCTGTAAACTAGACAGATCTCTTGCAATATGTTAACCACTGACCTCACCTAAGCCAGAGTTGATCCGACAGAAAAAGTGTTTGTAGGCTGGGTGTACATTCATCCAAGGTGGAGGAAAATCTCCAAGAATCTGGTTGGAATTATATGTAAGAATACACTGGTGAATAGTGCTCAAACACAAACCGCAAAGATCTGACACTTGACCTCAATGACTTCCACAGGCAAACTGTTAACATATCATCGTTTCTTTGTTTTTGACTAGTTTACACTGAGACAGCCATAGATGCAAGTTCACATTTCTTATCTAACTCTCGACTGCTTTTACTTGTAGATGAGTGTGTTGAAACTTATATAACCAATGCCTGTTAATACAGTATATTTAATATATAATATGGTGTGCCTTTTAAGCTGTATTCAGTAATTGTGTGATGCTTTTTTTGTGTGTGTGTATGCTAGTTCATTCACTCTCAAATCTTTAGTTTGGAAACTTGTCAAATGCAGTAGCGGTTAGCAATTAACAATCAGTTCTGTTCTAAACTGTCTGTGTTTTATGTAAGTGGAATTGCATATTAAATTGACAATAAATTGATTTTTAAACGAGCAATCATTTGTCCTTGTTTCTTTTTGACAGAAGTTGTTTTAACAATGAAGACTAATTGGAAGCCTTGCAAATTTTTAGCAAAAATTGAAAGGAAAAAAGACAAGTTTCTGAGTGAAAGAACTAGCAGCATTTCTACTACACCTTATTCTGCTGATTAGCTTGAATGCTGGACACTATATAAAGTATACTCATGCATGGCAGCATGGTTCATTGCCTAATTTTTCAAGGTATACTATAGTATTTATTGTATTTCTAAAACACCATGTGAGAGTTGTTAAGAGTGGGAACTTTGCAGCAGTGTTTTTTGTTACTATCTAATTAAAAAAAAAAAAAAAGTCTTATGTGACAGTAATGCAAGTCACAACGTATATAACATGTCCTTGTCATGGTAAATGTTCTTCATACCAGCTTTTTCTGTCCAAGGAGATGGGAAAACATTTCACACACCACATTCAGAAGAGTCAAGCATATGCTTTCTCTCTGCATTAGGGACCCAGGCACCCTTGGGGGCAGGGTTTGGAAATCCCTTTGCCTCGGCTGTTGGCACTAGCTTGGGCTCTACTACCCTTGGAGGTATTTGCCCCCACCCTTCCACACTCTACCATTTCCCAGTGCCTTTTCCTTTTTAATTGAAGCAGCCTTTTTGTTTGAGGTCTGAAGTGTGTGTGTGTGTGTGTGAGGTTCTTGCTGAGTGCATGTGCCTGAGAGAATGGTGCAGGCAAAGCTTGGCAATTTATTTCTTCTTCCATGTGCAAGACGTGAAGTGCGTTCATACCACGAGAAAAGCGAGCAAACTCTTGCCAAAGGTCACCCTGTTCGTCTTTGTGTGACAAGTTTGATGCTTTATTAGTGAGGAGAAAATCGGTCAGAACACTTCACCAGTTTCTCATCCTAAAATAATGTTGTACAGTACATGTTGTTAAAACACCTCTTTGCATGTCAACTAGCAAATCCACTTCACAGTGTGGGAACAGGTGGTCTGAACGCACACCAAATCAGTGTTATCTCTTGTAGTCGGTGCGCCTGGTAAAATCTTTCTCATGTTATTTTTCTCCCTGTGGCCTTTGCTTTGCCACACAGTTCACGGAGTCCTGTTTGTTCTGTAGTCTCCAGTCAGGCATTAAGCTGTGTGTAATGCTCCAATGATTAGGTTGTGGCATTTGTTTTGCATATATGTTTGCTAATGCCTGTCTGAGACACTTCTTCTGAGACACTGCGCCTTGTATTTGTTGCTGTTGTGGGGCAAACTGACTTTCGTTTTGCCTTATTCCCACAGGTTTTGGTGGTGGGCCAGGATTTGGAGGGGTTGGGGCTGGAGGGTCATCTTTTGCCTTCTCCTCCACCAGTAAGCCCACAGGAGGCAGTCTGAGTGCAGGTACATAAATACTTTCCTACCCTCTCCCCCCCTTCCTGTATATCCATATTGTTGAACTATGCTGAGCTTCAAAACTATATGCTAGTATTGTATATGTTTCTTTGGGTTGCTCTCTGCTGTAGGTAGGCTTGGTCAGCAGAATCATTCTTTTTGTTGTCTTGGTGGCCTTTTGTGCAAGTGTGCTCGCAGTTTGGCCACAACTCAATTTAGTATATGGGCTTTTTACACAAGGTGGACAAAGCCTGTTCAAAATTTAGCACATGCCAAAATGTGTATATCACGTGTGTACCTTTTTCTTTATTTGCTCCATAATTTAGTTTTCTCTAACCTTACTGACCTTCTGTGTGCCCTATTTTGCTTTTCTAGGTTTTGGTAGCAGCAGCACTCCAGGCTTCAACTTCAGTAACCCTGGCATCAACCCCTCAGCTGGCCTGACCTTTGGTGTGTCTAATCCAGCTGCCACTGGCTTCGGCGCTGGAGTGCCCCTTCTCCAGCTCAAGAAGCCCCCTGCTGGCAATAAAAGGGGCAAGAGATAAAAGCAGGGAATGATTGAACCTGACAGCGGGCTACGGCTAAGCCTGGTCTGCCAAAAGCAAACAAACGTTATGTGATGCGATTGGAACCCACCATCAATCAGCAACACAGAATCACTCATTTTCAATCATTTGGGGGTATATGAACAATAAATACTGAGTAAAAAAAAAAAAAAAGCCCATTCATTGGCCAGCATTATCTTTCATACACTGTGGTATGTTGTCCACTGTTCTATATAGATTTGATTCCCTTTGATCGGATTCCAAAAGACCAGTGTTACCAGTTAGAAATTATACAAAAAGTAACCTTAAATCAATATTGTAGACAGTGGCACATAAGGAAATGCTAAAGATAGTGTTTGTTTCATTTTAAACATGGCTTTGCCCATTTGCATGGCCTCAAATGCCTATACACTCTACACTGGTCAGTGTAATCTGCACTGCTACAATACTTTTGAGGATGCCAACCATAGGTGTAGCTGGATCAATTACAGATTGTTTCAACTGTCTGAGTGGTTTTTTTTGTTGTCTTAAACTTGTACACAATATTTTTTTGCGCTCTGAGGTGGACAGTGCAGTTGGTTCCGTTGTGTTACACAAAGTATGCCAGTCACTTGAATGCACCTGATCGCCTCTCAAATAATGACTGGACTGTCGTCCAGTGAAGGGTATGATAAGTTAAAGGAAAATAAGTTTATGGAGTAATAATTGGTTGAGAGCAGCATAGTCCCTGACTGAAACTGTCAGTGGGGAATGTTATCTGGCCTTAGACAGTTTCATAGGCACAAGAGTGTCCAGCCTGGGTTTCTGGGGAAGCACAGTTTTATTTTTGTATCAAGTGGAGAAAGAGATGATCTCGGCATAGTCCATTATGTGTTTCACATAACCTGTGTTGTTTTTGCTAGAGTCCATCCTTATTGTTTAATAATGAAGTTTTTGACACATTTTGTTTGCCCTGTGTTTCAGTGTAAAAGCTTGGGAGAGCAAGCACTGTGCTGTTTGTAAGACAGGACTCTCTTTAGATTTTAAGTTGGTTGAATCTGAAAGGGATTTCAAATCGGATTCTACCTGCTCAGCTCAATTTATATATGTGCTAGAACAAGAAAATCATCATCATTTGCACGGTGATAGTATGAATGTGCATGTGTGCTTACAGCACAAGTATGAATATGTCTCTAATGGTTTTTGTCTCTACTGGTTTATCATCGTTGCTGACTTCTTTTTAGCATTTTTTTTTTTTTTTTTTTTTCTCTTTACTCAACTGTCCCTGTCAGTTGGGTTACCAAATACTGGTAGTTGTACTATTATTTTTTTAATCACAGTCTGTGTGAACCTGTATTTTCAATAAATTGTTTAATAATAAAATCTTTACTAAGATGTTTTGCCTGTTTGTGGCATCATTTCAATAAATGTGTGTTGACACAGATTGGTGTCTGAATGTGTGTGTCACCTGGTTTGCAACAGTTCTTTTATTTGACAACAGTACATTCACTGATACTCTGATTTTTGCCATTTTTATGCCATGATATCAGACTCCTCTTTATCCCTAGCTTGTATCAATGCTTAGCCAAGTAAACATTAAAAAAGAATATAAAAAAAGCTTTGTGGAGTGAGTTTAAAAACTTAAGTGAATGCATAATTTGATGGGACCGAGTTATATAGGATAAAACAGGACCACTCATTCTGGGAGACATGATAGATTTAGACACAAATACATGAGATGAGTAAAACTTAATGCCATTTTATTCGACAACAGTTGAAACATAAAATACTCGCATTCGCTCTTCTAATCCGCGAGGGGGCGGTATTGCACTCCATGCTGCTTTCCAGCCGGCCTTGTACTCAAAAGAAGAGCGCTGTTGCTATGCGACGATGCTATAATACACATATCAATGTTAGACATTAGTTGTTTAAGCTAGCCACTCACATTTTAGTCCAGCTTTCTGCTTTTTTCATCCACATTCAATAATCAACAGTCCAGGTAACAGTGATTTATGTACAAAGTAGTGTAACACCTACTACTACAAGCCGGAAAATGCTCTTTGTCTTTTTGCCGACATTTATCAACTTACTTTGAGGCCAGTGGCATCTTGACCCGAAAGGCCAAGGAACTTAAAGTAACTCACATAGTGTTGGATTATCGTTATAGACATTTAACGTTAAATCAATCGATAAAATGAGGAATTCTGATAAAGCTGGTTATTGCGCTCTCCCTAATAACAAACAAATAAAGCTATCAACTCTCCTTTCATTTTACCATATCTTTGTTCTTGAGCTTAGCTAGGGTACTAAGATAGCTAACATTACAATAGCTAGGTTACTTGTATAACGCATGGTATCTAGAAGTTTGTTTCTTTATCCAAAGATTACAAAGCAGATTCAGCAACTGCCACAGTCAGAGATGTTATAGTACTGCTTTGCTTTGTTTCTGCAAATGGATGAAAACTGTATCATCAGGTGCTGTATCAATCTCTAGTATGGCTCATTTTCTTATACAGTTTGTGCACATGGTGTTTTTCTTCATATTCCTCTCAAAGTTAAACAAAAACATTGGATAGCTAATTTTAAGAACAGGATTGATTTGGGTAGATTTAGGTGGCCAGGGAACTGACATTTTTTCTCTTTTCTTAGACCTGCGGCTAGATCTTATCTGCTAATTGGACTATAATGTGATGTTTTATATTGCAGCCATGCCACTTCCAGATACAATGTACTGTGCCGAGCAAATCAACATCCCTCCTGAGCTGCCTGACATCATGAAAAGCTTCACTAAGGCAGCCATCCGAACACAGCCTAAAGATTTGCTGCTGTGGGCTGTGGCGTAAGTCTTAATCTCTGTCACTGGTGGTTTGTGTAGAGGATACATATTTTTGTGCTTTATTCTAATCTTTGTCTTTTAAACCATACTATAAACAATATTGTACTGTACAAAAAGCACAAGCCCTTTTCACCTGTGCATCTCTCATTGAGTGATTATAATTAGATTCCACAGGCTTCAGTGTTATTGCAGTGGTTATTTAAACTATCTCACTTTCTCCAACTAAGAGAAAGCACCTTAAACGTAGTGGATGGAATTAAAATATGTCAAGACCTTTTGTACCCCTAAGGACTGTCATATTATTTGCTATTTTATTCTCTAGTGTAGCTTTCCAGTGTTTATGACTGGCTAAATAAATAAATAAAGTGAGCCAAAGAATAAATGAATCTGAAATGTCTCCTGGGTTACAACATGTTTATATGCTATTAAAGTAACAGCAGTTATGATGATTTATCCAACTAGTGGTAGTCATGTAAGTGTATTTGACTGACATGCTTATGAAGCATGAGAGGTGACTGACAGGCAGGGTGAAGCTAAGCACAGTGTATGTGTGTAAATAATATATATGTATCGTCTCCCAGATACTTCAGTGCTCTGTCTAAGGGAGAGCGTCTGCCTGTCAAAGACAGGCTGGAGATGAATGTTGCCACCCAGAAGACAGACACTGGACTAACTCCAGGTCTGCTCAAGACGCTACACAAACAGGTATTTTCTCAGCAGTGGTGACCACATGTCATCACAGTAGTTTTCTACATAATGTTTCTGTTGAATGTAAAACAATGTATTTATTGTGAATTTGTAGTAATGTTGTGCATCTTTTCCAGTGTGCTTTACTTTTGCATTCAACATTTTGTTTTCCTGTTTGTATTTCCCTTGGTTGGGCCCCTTGACAGTGGGTGATTTTGTGCCAGAAATCTTTGCTGTATTACAATACCTCACATCACACATGCTAAGCTTATCCAGTGGAACTAAATGTTCTGACCGAGAAAGAATATCTGTATTTTAACTCACTGGAAAAGATAACATAAAGCATGCATGACTTGTAAATTCTCCCACAGCCATTTCCTGGCATCTTGGTGTGTGGAATAATTACAGTTATCAACTTTGTAACATATTAAACTGTTTTTACTTTACAAAAAAATCTACTGCTAGTAAGCACATTTTATTGTTTTGAGACATTAACATCCTAATCTAGTAGTTTGTCTTTTGTCTCTATATTTACTGTCTTAATTCCATAGCTTCTATTTATCCCAACAAACAGTACTGAAGAATTACTCATGAATTTTTACAGTCACCTGGTAAATTAGATAACCTGATTTTTTCAGCTCTCCTAACACCCTACATCCTCCACCCAATCATAGTTGTCCCCAAAGCAAACATGCAGCAAGGAGGAACTGCAGAAGAAATGGAAGGGTCTGTGCCTACCCATGGATCAGCTGGAGAGCTTTCTGTTGCTAGGCAGCTTCAGCTCTGAAATCAACTGGATGGAGTTTTTTGCCCTGGGGTGCAGTACCCTGGGAGGGGTGAGATGTTACATACGTAAATGTTGTTACCACTTTATTTGAGCCCTAAGTCCTATTGAGTCTAAGCATAGCTGTGGGTTCTCCTGCAGTGCTTTTCTTGTTCATCTCACACTCTAGTCCTCTGGTGTTTAGATTAGATCCAGATATGTGTGATCCTCAAGGTTCTCAGGCTGCAGTAAGAATGACTGTATAACTTCTCTGACTATGCGAATCTTAGCAATACTATTAAGCCGATAATTCGCTCAGAAAATACATACAGAGTCAAAGAGACAGATCGAAGAAAATATCTTTATGTATGGATTACTTTGAGGATGAAATGCAGGTATGTGCTCAGTGTCAGAAAGTTGAAAATGATGTTCCTGTGAATGGGGCTGTTGAAGTCCTTAACCACATGAGGGCAGTCATGTTGCATGTTGGTGAGGCTGTGATACTGTATTAGCTTGATGTGACTGCTAAATGCATGTTTTTCTATTTTTGTCTGATTTTGACAAAGTCGCAATGTCTGATTCTCTGTGTGTCGGTATGCACTTTTTCAGACTCTCATGAGTTCTCTTAAGTATGCCTGTGAGATCCTGACAGAGGATGAGGACGGCGGTGCTGCGAAGATCCCATTCGACACCTTTGTCAAACTCTACACCTACCTGGCTCACCTGGATGGGGACGTGCCACAAGACCACATTGACAACTTCCTCAGCAGTCTGCAGCCGCAAGTGTGGGTATCATAAATATGTGTGCGTGTGCGTGCAAATGCATTTCTTCAGATATATGCTGCAATCCAGAGTGGATGTAGGCGGTGACCAATTAGGCTGTTTTTCATGCATCACCAATAGATATGCTACCCAGTTTTCTTTTTTCAAACAGACTAATTATTTTTTCATTCAAATCATTTCCTGTTGGTTTAAGGTACAGTCAGATCTCATAGAGGTCTTTATTTTACTCGTGTCTATCAAGATTGTCAGACATCAATGGCCTTTTTTATATTTCGACACTCCAGACATGTGCAATAGGTGCACAGGGGAATTGTTAACTATTTCAGAATATAGTTCTATTATAAAAAATCGGACAAAAATCAATACTACGTCAAACTGGCATTATGTTTTCTGCAGTGGCGACTCTGCATGTGCTGAGCACTGTTCTATTTTGTCCAACATGTCTACCAGTCAGTCTTGGTGGATATAGACCATTGACTGACACGACGGACATGGTATCACCACTTCCATCCACTGTGCAAAAATGAAACCAAAACACTGTAAATATAGTGTCTGCCATCTTGCTTTTTTGCAACCAAGTTCTGTTCAGTAGCAATCAGAAGTGGAGTGACAGCATGAGACCACCAATCAAAGCTGTCAAATCAACTGAAATACACCCTTTTTTATTTAAATTTTTTTTATTGAAACAAAGTAACACATTAACAAAACAGTACCGAACATGGGAGACAAGACAACAGTTACATGACATTACAAAAGGATATAGAGGGTTAAACAAGGTTGTAGTGTGTGAAGTGTGGGTATTTCCAACTTATGCAGTCTATGAAATGCAAGAAAGGGAAAAGGAAGGGAAGTAAATAAATAAATAAAAAATCACCAATAATAATGATGATAACAGTACTACTAATAAAATAAGCTTGTTACATTTTAGAGGTTGGTGGAAATGTGCGTGGCCTCAGCCCTAGGTGTTTGATTCAAGTTGAAATGTGTTAAAAATGGGTTCCATGTGTCATAAAAAGCAGATAAACTATTATTGTGAGTGGATGCCTTTTTCTCTAATGTGATGTATTCTGTCAGAAGGTTGGTCCAGTGGTTTATGTGTAGTGATTTTTTTGATTTCCAGTTTTGAAAGATTGTTTTCTTGGCAATAGCTAGAGAAATGAGGAGTGGGTATTTATATTTAATTGGTAGGTGGCCGATTTCTATGATATTACCGAGTAAGCAAAGTGATGGAGTAAGGAGGGATTCTACAGCCTAAGATGGTGGAGCGTTTCTCTGTCACTGCGATCCAGAGGGAATGAACTGGTTGGCAGGTCCAAGTAGCATGAAAGTAACTGTCGGTGCAATCTAGAGTGCATACACCCCTTTTTATGACATCAAATAGCTTGTTAAAAACAAGCTTGCCTGAAAAATGACCACTTGTACACACATCAGTGTGATAATGTCTATCAAAAACCATAGAAGTGACCTCTGGGGAAAATGTATCTGATTTATGTCTGGAGTTTTTAGTTTGGCTCATGTCCCATCCACTAACATGGAGGAGGCGGGATTTATGACCTATACTGCTACAAGCCTCCGGGGGGCAATCGAGTCACGGTGGCTTCACTTCTGTCAGCCTGTCCATCATTTTTACCGTCAATCATACAGACAGTTTAAAAGCTAAGCCAGGTCATCTAGCCGCATGATGTTGTGAGATAGTGACACTATTTTCACTGTTGTGAAAATCCTTAACTGGTTTCTCTGCCTGACAGTAACGAGCAGAATGACATGATTCAAGTTTCTGACATCTATATCAGCAAAAAGTAAAGGACTGAGAGAGAGAGGAAGCAATGGAAGACAGGAAGGAATAGAAGTAACAAAACGACAGTGTTCCGTTAATAAATGGGATTCTACTGCTCCTTTAAGCACAGCTGTTGTTTCATTATCTGTTAGTATCAGACACAATAGATTATTATTCATCACTGTCCAGCTGCTATTTGGAGTCTGGTTGGAATATTCTAATTGAGCAGCAAGAGAAGCACAAAGCTGCCTCACACAAACTGTCAGGTGGAGTGTGTAAATGTGTTCTATTGTGTGTTCCACTTTTGTTTGAATTAGCCAAAATTAATTTATCATGCACACAACCTACTAGCTTGCAGCCTCATCGCATTTGGCCTCCCTGCCCGTGTGTTCATTTCGCCCAGAAGATGAAAACGAGGAGCGGGACATAAGCTCCGAGGGCACAAAGGTGTGATTTTCTGTTCATGTTAAAGGCTTAAAACCCCCTGTGCTTTGTTCACTCCCCTATGCAATATTGTAAATTGGCAGGTGCAAATACTCACTCAGACAAGTTTATTACACTAGTCAGAAAGCAAAACATTTGCAGGGCCAAGAGATCCCAGAGACACATACAGGTGCACTATTCATGCTCAATCTCTCCCAGACTCTGAACATGAGCTCAGAATTTTTACAACTACACATTATTTTCATGTGTCAGAGTGAGAGCATAACCTGTTGTGTAAGTCACAGAGACACAACATGACCCTCTTTTCTTATCAGCATTTTGTTTTTTCACATACACACACATACCATTTTGGCAGGTCTTTGGGGTGGAGGATTCATAATCCTTGAATGTTTGCAGCTGCGGTCAGTTCACAGGGGACAGATTCAGGTTATCAGAATCTTTGATAGCCTCCAAACGTATGACAGTGAAAACAAGGAATTTTGTCAGGGCTTAAAACAGACCTTTCTGTGAACCTCATAGTAGAGCTGAAGTAAATGGTTTATTAAAACTAACATTAATAATAACATTCATTTCATCCTTCTCAGAAGAGATCGTGATAGATAGCTTTTAATCTGAAATAGATATTGGGTATGCATACATACATAATTACATACTACTACTTAATAATACTAAGTATTTTTTTTTATGAATAAACACCTCACAACTATAATCTTACATTCAGAAATTATGTATTAGGATTCTATAAATTTGAATTTTCAGTTATATTTACCTGATTTCCCAAGAAGGTTCAAGTACAAAAATATTATTTTGTACTTGTGATATATCTGTGACATAGACACAGATATAGACCTAGATATAGATTTTACCAAAAATCAAGAAACGTCTTTTAGAAAATCAGGAACTTCCACTTTCAGTTCCAAGGCCAGTTGTTTATTCTGCCTAAATCTCCCTGCTCCTGGGCAGGTACTTTCTGTTAACACAGGAACTACTGGGTTTGAGTGTGTAGTGCTAAACATTGCTAACTCATGAAACTCATTCCTGCAAACTCTTTGTGTGCAGTATTCAGTGAAACTGTAAGCAGGTACTGATTGCTGCTAGTATCAATAGTAGGACTTCTGGTGGTGATTTTGTTTAATTTTTCTTATGATGTAATTGTTTTGTTGTTGGCTGAGTTACAGTGGGCAAGACAAGCAAACTAAAGGTTTTAACTGTGGTTATGTATTACAACAGAAAAATAGAAAAAAAATCTCTAGATTCTCACTTGTGCCTTCATTATGGCTTTTTAGTAGCTCTTTTCACCCTACATGTTCTCACACACTCAGACTAACACTCTGTGTTGTCTTAGTGTCTGTTATAGGCTTGTCAGGTCATGCCTATCCTGGGTAACAATTCCAGTAAAGTACATTATACTTTTCATACTTAATTTACCAGCTAGGCAATCATGGACCTTGTTTCCATGTATTGATCAGTACACCTGCTATTAAAAACAAAGAGATAAGGTTGAAACAGGGAAATATCCCCGTTTTTGTCAAATAGTTTATGTTCCGATACAGTGCTTTCCACTTTACAGTGTGAAAGAGACAGAACATTTGAAGGCCTATCCTCAAATTGCCACTCTTTCTGTGCATCCTATAGTACAGTGGTTATACTTTACAGCTCCAGTGCTGTGTCTCTCATTGTTTTACAGTGTTGCATCGCTGAAGAAACATGATGTTATTGCAAAGATGTCAGTGGTTTAGGAATCCCAGCTCCAGGGTGGACCCTGTTGCACAATCTTTACACTTTCTTCGAGCTTTGCTCATAACATCACATCTCCAGGGACACAACAGATGTAGCAAAGCAGTGCAAAAATAGACAGCATGGATACACAGGCTCCTTCTTAGCAGTCATCTCTGTAGCTGTTGTTTGGCAGATTTCAGGGAAAATTCTGAAGTTGCAGAACATGGATATTTTATCAGCTCTACTGCTGTACTAAGGATGTACTTTATTTTCTTGACAGCAATGGTTCAGTTGAAACTATTATTATTGTGTTATCAATGTTATTAATGTGTCATTTTACAGGACTTAATCAGTTTAGAACTTATTGTCAAGCTTGGCTGTGTGTACTTGTATTAGAACCACAACCTCTAAGAATTTTATGATTATGTGAGATTTCTCTTCAAGTGCTAACATACAGCTAACAGACTGTACTGTGCACATATATGTCTAACAATATACTTTATGTTTCAGGGAGCTCCAACATGGGATGATAAAACCTCTGGACTTCATTCATCAGGATGATATGGACTTCGGATCATCCAGTTTTGCCGAAGCAACCTCAACAGCTGAGTAAGATCCAAGAAAGACAGGCATTTCAAAATGATGTATCACTACACTGTATCTGATGTAACTAATGAGCAAGAAACATAGACCATGCTTTCCTCTGGAGTTAAGGTGCATTTGTGTTTAACATTCACTACCTTCTTAAAGCTTGGGTGGGATGTACAAGCAAGAAGCACCATGGCTGTCTATAACAGGCGCCTGCCTGTCAATCGAGAAAACACCCCCCAAAGCATTTTTCTGTTAAGCCTCATTATCTTCTTAAAGGATCAGTGATCTCACAATCTCCCACTGTGACACACTTCAGTGGATGAAATTTAGTGAGAACTGAACTCCTTGTGAAACAAATATATTATTACTTTGTATTTTAAAAGACATTGGTGGGAGATTTTTGCTGATTTCACAGCATTTATAGTGAAGTTATGTGTGTGCTTGTGTGTAAGGGGATGTCAGCTTTTATTATGTCTGTGCTGTCACACTTAACACGAAATGACTCCATTCATTTAAAAGCATTGATTGTTTCATTTTAAGTCATGTTTTTTTGTGCTGCTGTTTATTATGTATACCGATTTAGTCTGTGGTATACAGAATAGGTTAACAGGTTGGTTGCCCACATGAACACACACAATAATCACAATAAGAACTTAATTAACGGTCATCACAGGCTGATTAAAATTTGTTTGTTTACACTTAGTACACCATTGAATTTCTTCTATTCAAGTGGCAGCAAAGGCTCTCTCTGTTCCTGGATTTTAGTATTGTACTTAGCTTCTGAATAGACAGTTTCATCTGTCCTGGCCTCATTAACTGAATAAGCAATAATCGGAAGTGTTTCTAATCAAGCTATTAATAAACAGCACATTTTGGCTATAGAGAAAACAAAAAAACATCAATTTCAGGCAAATCTTAGACACAAGGGGCCCATTAAAACTTTGACGTACTAGGTTTTGGTCACACATTCACTTTGTCACAGTTTGGTGCGTGTGTAAAAAGGGAGCTCATGGGATCTTTGCACAGCACTCCTGCTCCAGGTATGCCACGGTGAATAAAGGAATGAAGGCATATAGGAGCTCCTCTAAACCTACCAGCAGCAAGGGCACGTGGTGCTCATGAGGTTCATGGGATGCAGGTCTACTGTGAAAACTTGTATTAGAAAAATGTATTTATGAACAATAAAGACCTGTAATCTTTTATTTTTACAGAACTGATGCTGATGGCCAAAGTCACATTTAAAAAAAAAACACTTTGGTCCGAAAGTCTGTCCCACAGTGCTTCTGTGCACAAGTAATATGCACATGTGAGCTTCTCAGTAGTGGAGCCTGCAGCATAAGGTAAAGACCTTATTAGGTCCAACAAACATTTTTGCTTGCCCTTGCAAACCCCTTATGTCTGTTTTTACAGTTCATTCTACAAACACAGAGTTAATGCAACATGCCAGACTTATGTGAAAGAGCACTTATCTGTGTGGCGGCTGTAGCCTGTATATCAGTCTGAAAGCTCTTCTGCTGTAGTCTACATAGACATATGTATGTATAGTTATAAAAGCTGTCTCTCTTTTTGATTGCACACAATCCGCACACTGTTTATTATTCTCATTTTTATTGCTCTACTTTTTATTTTTATTTTTATTGTTACTTTCCATTCCTGTTAACCTTATAATACATTGAGGGCTTCTGTAGTGGAGTCAAATTCCTGTATGTTCAGACATACTTGGTAATTAAAGACAATTCTGATTCTGATGCCCTCTTGACGTACAGTATGAATGAACCACATTTCCCACTGGCTGTGTTGCTGACCCTTGACTCGAACTTTAAATGGGCCTGTGAAAGCCCTTATGGAGCTGAAGTTCTCAGTCTAACTAAACCACCAGTCTTCCTAATCAGTATTAATCATTTCCTTCCATTGTGCCAGGGCTAAATAGGGCCCACTAAGCGCTGTATTACAGTGTCAAATACACTACGTGAGCACTAGTGGTTTATTTGAATTTATAATAAAGCTGTCTGAAATATTATTGAGTAAAAGACAAACATGATTTCACCTTTCTTACTGTAGAATGTTTGGCAGACTTCCACTTTTTTCTACAGTTTAATTGGCTTTCATTAAACAGTTCTATCTTCTAAAACACCAGTTTATTGACTAGCATTATTAACCAATTTTCCTGTTATTGGATTAGCCGAACATTTCACTGAGAAGTTTTGGAACTGCTGTTGAACAGATCACAGTGTAAAACTGGAACACAGCACAAATTTGATTGCAGAAGTCATCTGTCATAGAGCAGGGGCACTGTTGCATACTGTGAAAGAATATAGAGATCGCTCTCAGTCTATAATGTGAGTAAACCATATATTTGTACAGTACATTTATAAAACCTGATAAAACCTGTGAAACATTTTACAACTGTTTCTTGAAGTACTTGAATACACCCAGTTGCTTAACTAGAACTCATGTGGTCTAAAACAACAGTCCTGCAGTAAATATGTAATAATGTTCAGTCCTTGCTCTTGTAGAGTTTATTTTGTGGACATCTTGTGGTTTTCTTGAATTGTATCATACTTAGAAATATTTTTTATGGAGTGTAATTTATATCTAGACCTGGAGGTGCTGTACCTTTCTGCACCTGAATATCTGTTAGTGGATCAGTGAGCTGAAACCACGGCTGTCCGCCGAGCTCCAACTTCATCATAGATCTTTTAACTAATTCTAATCCTTTCGATGAGGAAACATCCATACACTGTATCTGATGGTGCTGTCTGTGACTTGAGCAGACATTGAAAAATTTCACAGATAATTGCTGACACTGACTTTCACCCACACAGCAACAGAATAACACCATAGAGATGGCTGAGCCACAGGAGAGCCACTCTCTCAGCTGGGGGTAGATGAAGGTGTAATAATAATGGATGCACACTGGGACTTTTTTGCACTTGGGATTTTTCCACAGCATGTGATGCCTTGTTGTTGATTCTGCCATTCTGTGGAAATTGAAAACAGCTAGATATGTAAGGCATACTTTGATAACATCAAACAGAATGTAGAGGTCAAAGCAGAGGTCAAATGTGTACCCTGCTAGAAGGGCAGGCTTTAAGATTCACCACATGTACGATACCAGGTGACCCACAGAGGCAGTTTAGCACATCTAATAAGAATCAGATACTGCAAGAAAACTAATTTAAATGACACAAACTATAGTGGGTCTATTTTTATTTTACTTCAAAAACACAAAACAACAAATGTGAAACATTTCTTTACCCACAAATTAAATTGTTGGTTGGTAGGTTAGTTTTATTTAATTTCTGTGTTGTACCAGACATCTGATCCATCCCATATGGAGTTACAAGGCACAGTTGTTTTCACAAAAGGTACATTTTCAGGTAACATACAAAAAAAGACAATAAATAAAAAAACAGAAAGCTTACAACATTCTAATGCTACAAGTCATCCTGAAAAAGAGCCTTTTCCCTTCTCCCAGGCTCTTTCCAAGTACACTAGCTGGCAAATTTAAATGTTTCATATGTGAACAAGCAACTCAATTTTTTTTGTATCATCCATATTTACAAAATCACTGTTTTCATTTTACTAAATGAGGTCTTGTGCAACACTGATCAGATCTGCCTTTCTTCTTCTGGATTAAGAAACCATCCAGTTTCAACTGCAAGTGGCAAAGATCACAGCTGAGCACACAGGGATCGTTTCTTTTTAGATTAATTACATTTTTACATCCTAAATGTGCACAGTTTTGGTTTAGTCCATATATCATCAGCCGATTGTCTTTTCCTCAGAGCAAACAGCCTCTCTGAGCAAACAAATATTGATCTTTTCATAATTAAAACCTTCATCAGTCTCAGTTGTTAAATGGTAGACTAACCTTTTCTGACCAAGGCCCACTGCTTGGTCTATCCCAAATGAATTTTTTTTTTTCAACCTACTTTCTTCCATATTAAGTAACTGATTCCATAGCTGAGTTATATTGTACATACTGTATCTTCCAGTGAACCTCCCGTGGTTCCCATCCTATATCTCCCACCACTGCCAGCTTTGGTACTTACTTGTGTACAACTAAAAAAACGAATTAACACATTTTCATGAGACCATACTGGCTATGCACATGTAGCTTAAACAAAAGCAGAACTGTAGTTCAGCACAAAGTAATGGAGCCCTCCCACTGTTATCGGTGGTGGAAAGTCCCTAAATACATTTACTCAAGTACTGTACCATTAAGTACAATTTTGAGCAATTTGTACTTTACTAGAGTATTTTCTGCTGCTTCATATTTCAACTTCACTATGTTCTGAGGCCAATACTGTACTCATTACCCAACTACATTTATTTGATAACTTTAGTTACTTACAGAATCATATTAATATTACAAAAGACAAAAGGCTTTATTGGACCTCAGTAGAAATTCACAAGGTACATTACAAATTATAAACATATAATGTCATTAAAATTAGCTCCACCTTTAACAGCTGCAACATTAAAGTGATGGTCTTGATGATTCACTAACTTAAATCCAATGCTACAATAGTGGTGGACATAATGAGCACTTTTACATTTGGTATTCCTGCTTCAGATATATATGTCTGCTTATACTTTTGCACTTGCAACATTTTGTATGTAGACTTTTACTTGGAGTATGTTTGCACTGTGGTATAAAAGACCTAAGTACATCTTGGACAGAGAGAGAGAGGTGGGGAGAGGCTGCACAGAGAAGTAGGCTCCAATCTCCTCAAAGGCGATTAGGAGACCAGGCTGTTGTCTCTGTAGAGCCGCGTCTCTTTTACTTTCTGTTGTATCTCCACTTTCAAAAGCCTTAATCCTGTTTCCATTCAGGCGCCGTCAATCCGGAAAAGAACAACACAACGTGGTTTCGTTTTGGGGAAGTCCTCACTTGGTGGGACGTTCATGGAGCATGTGTCAGCAACCCTCCCAAGATGACAGGCTGCGTGTGCAGTTTGCTCAAATAGCAGGCTTGTGCATGATACCGCTGATTAAGGGGTTTGCGCGTGTAGGATCGCGTAGGCGATGTAACTGACTTTTTGGCACGAGTTAGTTAGACTATTGTGTTGAAAAGACAGCCAGTTCCATGCGCGCTACACGCGTGCCAGGCTGCACTCTACCCCTAGGACAGTGCCCTGGGCTGTTGGTTTAGATGCTGTCAAACACCGGTGATGAGGACTACTTGGGTTCGTGCGAAGAGGACGATGAGGAGCACGGGGGTGAGGAAGACGACGATACTTTCGAAGAAGTTGACTTCGAGGACTTGAATGATTGTCAGAGCATCGCGTCCGATGACTCCTTCTACCCGCCGGATGATGCGTTCGCGGACTCGGAGCGTTGCCCATCTCTGGGAAGCCCGGAGCCGTTGTCCTTTTTCCAGGCGTGCTGCACCAACAACGCGGCTGTCGTCCGGATAATGATACGGCATGGAGTGGAGGAGGAGGAGGTCAGGAGGACAGACAGGAATAACAGGGTATGACTTTAACTAACTTCACACAAGACACAGCAGCTCATACTTTCATGAGTCCACCACACAAATGATTGGCTTGTATTTGAAAACAGAGGCTTTGTTAACTAGTGGACAAGATATGGACCAGGTGTTAAGTGTTTATGTTGTGTTGGTACCAAACCGAAGCACTAAACAGCCTCCATCGCTTTCCTGCCTCTCTGTGCAACAGGTTCAGTTCAGGAGCTGCAGATATTCTGAGCTCACTGAAAACCTTTAAGTTTGACTCAGATGCCAATTTATTTAGAATCATTTACTGTATTGCCTTTTGTCCAGGGAAAGTTGAGAAGGTACTTTCTCCGTTATAGCTTCACATATTAAAGTAGCCAGATATAAATACAGTTTCCTGCTTTTGGCAACCACAGAGTTCTGGTGTAGAAGCTGGAGTTTCATTGCCTTGATACGTCAGGCCAATGTGAAAAGAGCTGGCTTTATTAATATTTTGTAGACCATACTAGAAAATAAAACATGCTGTGAAAATGCTGAAAGGAGTATACTTCTCCCACATTATTCCGTGCACGCACTATAATGTGTCGCCTGTGTTTGCTGTTGTCCCCTTCAACAGGGAGGGTCAAAAGTTAGGCTGAGCTACAAAACTGCAGCCCAGGAAATGCCATAGATTGTGTTTTAGATAAAGGCACCACAGCAGGAGATTGACCCTGCGTCTGTGGCTGATGGTGCTCATAGTAAAATCACTAGCTTCTACACACAGTAAGATTTGTAAGTGGCTTGGTGTGATGCATTGTTGAGCAGTAAGGCAGCAGCTGTGTGCACCAAAGTATCCACTTCTGTGGTTCAGAGTCAATACCTGATCACACCACATCATTATCTTACTAAGAAACAGTTTCGTGATCAGAGTTAAGTGAAGACCAACAAAAAATGTCTGCATCACAGCACAGATTGAGGACAAAATATGCAGAGAGGAGAAAAACTAGACAGTAGTCTAGAAATGTTCCATGGTAGTTTGACAGTATATTTCAAGTTTCATGAGCCAGCCCAAAGATCAGTATTATAAACCTTCAGTTTTGATATTCTTAACTCATTTTATGTCTCAACTCAGCCTCTGAAAAGAAATATAACGGTACTTTCTACTGACACGTTGAAACTGGTTTAACTCCAATCCCAATCACAACATAATAACAAATTAAGATTTTAGTGCTAGGGTCAAAGGCTCAGAGGGAGAAACTGGTCGTTAAATTAATTTTTTCTAGGACTGACCCTGAGCCAATGAGCCAGATGTTCTCTTCAACTCAGGACTGAACTTAAAAGTTCAAGTGGGGTTTATCATCAAATCAGCTTTTTTATCATCTTAAATGTATCACTAGAGTACTGCCATATCTGGTCTACCCAGTACAACTGGTTCAGAACTCATTTGCCAAAGTGCTGACCAGGACCAGAAAGACAGAATATATTAAACTTGTTTTGTCTGTCAGTTTTCCTATTGATTATATTTTATTTAATAATAAACTTTATTTCTATAGTGCTCTCCAGCTCCAAGAGCACCAGAGTGCTGTACAGTAGAAACACACAAAACAATAACACTAGCAAAAAAACAGGTAGGTGCAAACACAGATACTAACCATGACTAAAATTTAAACAGTAAAACAGGTTAGGTCTCAAAAGCCTGCTTAAAAAAGTAAGTTTTTAGGGTCGACTTAAAGGCCGCCAGCTCATTTTCAGCCCTTAATTCTACCGGAAGAGCATTCCACAGTCTGGGGCTGTAGATAGAAAAAGATCGGTCACCCCATTTTTTGTAGCAGGAGCACGGCACCGCCAGTGACAAATGATCAGTGGAGGGAAGAGCTCTACGCGGCACATAGACAGATAGCAGGTCAGATAGGTAGGATGGGGCGAGACCATGAATAGCCTTAAAAACAAACAATAGGATCTTAAATTTAATTCTAAATTGGATCGGAAGCCAATGAAGAGTATGAAGAATCAGGGAGATATGGGCAAACCTGGGAGCATTGGATAGCAGCTGAGCTGCTGCATTTTGGACCAATTGTAATTTCTGAAGCACAGTGTGGGGTACTCCTGCATACAAGACATTGCAATAATCCAACCGCGAAGTAATAAACTCGTGAATAGCCTTCTCCAGATCTCCATGTGACAAAAATGGTTTAACCTTTGTTAAGAGTCTTAGCTGAAAAAACAAGACTTAACCACTGCCCTAATCTGTTTCTCAAAAGTAAAACCACCATCAAAAATTATTCTGAGGTTTTTCATCATGTCAGATAGAGGGAAGACTCAGGTGCAGAGGTTGACTACATCTGGCGGCAGGTCAGAACTAAAAAGAATGTATTTGGTCTTACTCTCGTTCAGATGCAGAAAATTTAGCACAAGCTATTGCCTAATATCCCGAATGCAATTTTGCAACAGGGTAAGAGCATTGGAGTCAAATAGGAACAGTGGCATGTAAATCTGGACATCATCAGCGTAAAAATAGAAATGAACATTATGGCTAGCTATAATTGCCGCAAGGGGTGCAATATATAATGAGAAGAGTAATGGAGCCAGGGTAGAACCATGAGGAACGCCTGAAGTGAGAGGAGCTATACTGTATTAGAGACACAATCACCAATACTGACCAAAAAAGTTCAATCGATTAAAAAAGAAGAAAACCAGTTTAAGGCAGTGCCTTTAAGCCCAACGAAATGTTCAAGTCTCGACAAGAGGATAGAATGATCAACAGTATTGCATGCTTAAGAGCAGTCGGGACCACACCGGCATCCAGAGAGAGATTAATAAACGTGACCAAGGAGGGACCAAGAATGTCAAAAACCTCCTTGGAAAACCTGGCAGGAAGCGGGTCAAGGGGCGAAGAGACCGGTTTTAAGTGGGCTATGGTCTCTTTTAATTGACATAAAGAAATCGAGGTGAAGGAACTAAGAGTATGTAAAACGTGGGATCCAGGCTGAGTATGTGCTGGGGGCTTAGGCATATTATGCAGCTCCTCCGCAAAGCCTGGGTAATGTCATTTAGCCAAGGAGTAGTCGTGTTGCCAGCTCTTCTCATCCTAAGAGGTGCAACAGAGTCCATGATCCGGGCACAAGTCAAATTCAGCGAGGGGTGAAGTACCTCAGGGCACGTCGGAGGATTTTGATCCACTGAAGAATAGAATTCAGAGTCTAAAAACGCAGCAGCGAAGTCGGAAGGGGTAGAGGAAGTTATCATCCTGCAACGCAGCTGTGGGGCCACCGGTCTGGGCAGCCTTATTGGTAGCGGGACTTCAAAACGAATAAGGAAGTGGTCAGATATGGCTATATTTGCCACATCCTTAATAGTAACAGATAGACCCCGAGAAATGACGAGGTCTAATGTGCCCTCCCGTATGTGAGTGGGACAGACTACTGACTGACAAAGGTCAAAGGAGTCCAACAGAGCATTAAAATCGTTTACAAGTGAGGAGTTGGCTTGAAGATTAAAATCCCCACAGATCAACAGACAATCAGCCTGTGAAGTAAAAGCAGCCAAAAGCTCTCCAAGTTCGTGGATAGAATCCTTCAATTTGGGAGGTCGGTAGATGACTGCATAAAATAGGGCAGTGCAGCGATGAAACAAAAGTTTGAAGCTCGAAGCTAGAAAAGGCCATATAGGGCAGGAGGCGACATTTTAAAGTTGGCTTAAAAACAGATGCCAGGCCACCACCTCGACCAGGGTGGCGTGGGGAGTTAAAAAAATAAATAGTTAGCCAGTAAAAGCTCAGAAAACAGAGTGTTATCCCCTTGTTTGAGCCAAGTTTCCATGATAAAAAGCATATCCAGATTGTGAGTGGTGATAAGATCATTCAAAATGAAAGTTTTGTATTGAGTGATCTTACATTAAACAGGGCGAACTGGAGCAAGCCAGGCTGGACCTGGGGGCACACAGTGCGGGACACTGGGCGAAGACTGGAGTGAAGACAACGTCGGGTAGAGCGTTTCACCAAACGAAAATGTGGAAGAGGCCGGTCAGCATCTAGGCCTACTGGATGAAGAAAGCGGTAGTTGGAGGTAGATGACCATCTCGAGTCGACGTAGCCATGCTCCTAGAGGTATCCCATCCCTTGTGACAGGTTCAGAACAGATTTCAGCTTTATGTGCAGTCCTGCTCTCCTGCCGCGTCGTCTTCGCCGAGGCCTAACTTGTGTCGGATGGAGCGAGCGTCGCAGAAAAGGTGGTACAGATGCTAACAGAGGTGGTGGGGACTTGAATTGCCAACTCCAACAGCAATTTGACCCGGTCATCCTCGAGTTTCGTATTTCAAACAGCATCAGACGATCGTACACCAAGGTGGAGAAAGCAGAGGGGCCATCAAACAACACAAAAAACAAATAGACAGAAGGAGTAGACGGCCAGCCAGATACAGTGGCGCCATCTTGGACCAGCCAGGACTTCCTGCTTCAGAAATTACAAGGAAGTTTTATTTGGTATTTAAATGGTCTTGTACCAGCCTACTTATCTGATGTGCTTCCAGCCTGTGGCATCCTCTGACACGAGTCTTTTAGCTTTTCCAAAGTGCAGGACGAATGTATTTGGTGAGGCAGCTTTTAATTTTTATGCTTGGAGTCATTAGAACTGTTTGTCCGAGGTTCTGAGAGTGGGTGACAGTGTAAAACCCAGCTCTTTGGATGGTTTTTCATTAGAACTTTTTACTGTTATTTATTCTGTATTATGATGATGATTTTGTATCATTCCTTATTTATTTTATTTTGCTGGTTTTATTTGTTAGTTAATTTTAATGTTATTGTCATTATGAACCTGAAATGTGCTGTATAAACAGTTTGATAAAACAGTTCCTGGCTTAAACAGTCTGTCCCCTGTACTCTAAGAAGACAGGGTGTAACATCCATGTTTCAACTAAACACAGCCTGAATGCTACATTCAGCAAGTCACTTAAAGGCAAATCATTATACACTAGGTCATATGGAAGCATGTCTATTTATTTCTCCTTCTGTGTTATTATAGGGTAGTAATTATTTATGCTCTCAGTGTCAGAATCACTATATTCAAATAGGAATTGTGTTGTGAGAAGTAAAACAGCCAGTAAACATCAGGGTTTTCTCTTGTGAATGTTAAATGTTTAGATACTTATGTGTGTGTGTTAATGTCATGAATCGAACCAGTGTCAGTGTCCTCTGGCAACTCTGACCCTGTTTAGGACAGTATGTGCTTCTGCCGGGCTCACATGAAAAATATTCACATGCACACTTGCACACAGACACACATGGAATCCAGTCAACTTAAATGAGGCCACCCTGTCTGACTGTGACCTCTTTGACTCTCTCTCACACACACACACACACACACACACACACAGAGACACACACACAGAGACACACTTGTCCTTTAGAACACAATGAAAGTTCCCAAATAGGCTAAGATCAGGTGACAAACCAGGACAGATACAGTATACTTTATCAACTCCTGCTGAGACCAACGCAAAGACTGACATCGGGCCAACGGGACAGCAAACCGAATGGGGCACAGGCAGATGGAGAGAAATAAATACAGTACTGCTAATGTTAGCAAGTCTAATGCTTGTAGCAAATACAGATGAGTGGAAAAATCAAAGCAAGAGTCATACACATTTGATTACAGCCACGTGCGTGCTCAGCCGCAGACAGGGAGACAGTTAACAGGGAAGCTATTGATGGAAACATTACCCAGTAGGTCTGTGTCAGTGGTGCTTCTGTAGTATGTTTTTGAGTTTGGTTAGAGTGTGTTTGCTTGTGTGCGTATACATATCCTCAAACACAAAGATGTACTGTAAAAAGCAAAAACTAATGCAAAGTTTTAGATTTGGTTTACACTAGCGGCTGCTGCTCTGGTTATTTTTTTTCTGATATTTAAGCACTACCTACTTGGAAATAAAAATGAAGTGAAGTCTTATTACAGAAACAAAAAGGATGTTTGTGGTGCAGTGAAGCAGTAAGAATGGGAGACCCACAAGAGCAGTCTCATGGTTACTTAACAGTGAAAGGCTTAGGTATTATGGTGAGATTAAACAGGATTCTACTTGGTTGGGATGCTATCCTAGTTTTTTTTGCCAACATTTCCAGCAGTAGCCGGATGATAAATTGATGACTGGTTTTACATCCTTTTTCATTTCAGTACCAGTTACAGTCCAGTCAGTTCAGCCATGTTTATCTGAAGATGCTGTGGTACCAGTGAACATATGTCCTTTGTTAATTTTCACATAATTTGAAACAGATGCAGTTGAAAACATATTTGAACATTGGCTGGGAAACCCATATTTATCATATGTCTGAAGGGAATTTTAAGGGTTACGATGGTACAATGGGTTATTCTCACTGGAGCCAGTTATTAAAGCGTTCCCACATTAAATGCAGTACACAGTTACATCTCTGTCCCTACCCCCCACTCTGCGTCTCTCCCACTGTTAACCCACTGTTAAGGCTAAGCCTTTCTATTTCTAGCTCTGGATATTCCCCAGATTACTTAGTGAGCGTGTGTTTGTGTCTTTGTGCATGTTGTCTATATGGGCTAATAGTAAGCTGACCAGAATTCTTGTGTGCACAGCATTTGTTTATCCTTTATTTTAGTTGAAGTTCAAATGAAATTAGAAATGAATTCATCAGATCAGTGTACTATAATATAGTATAGCATATTTGTTTGTTATGACATTTACTTACTCGGTCAAAATGGTCATTGCCAGCAAGAAATGTTTTATGCAGTGATAGTACCAGCCGCTCATGTCTGTTGCCTCGCTGGGTGAGATGAGAGAAAACGAATCATCTTCTTATCACGAAATATTAGAGACAAGCAGAAGTTATGTCTACTTCAGTGTTACTCACCAAAATGCAGTGTCTATTCTTGGCATCTAACAGATGTCTTGCATGGATAAGTCTCCTTCTTCTCTGCCTTTGTAGGCACATTGCTGCATCTCATGGCACATTACAGACACATGTGGGTCAGTAGACTAGCATGAGTCCTCATGCATGTGCTTGAGATAAACTAAATCGAGATCTACACTAGAGATGTGACCAAAATGATCACAGTTACCAATACAAGCACGGTACTGAGGAAATGTTCAGAAAGTACTTACAACCACAAATAATTATTAGCATCACTATGTATTGTGTGTTCACAAACATTAAAAAAATAGTCAATAGCTGTAGTCTTCTGTAAACATAGGAAAACGTATCAATTGTGCATTAAACTCAGTAGGATTACTGGGATTGCCTACTGCATGCCCAGTCTGCAAACAAAGGAATAGCTTATGTATTAATTATCATTATTATTATTAATATATAGTGTATCAGTGTTGATACTGTGCATATCAGTGGATGAAACCGTGTGCAGAGAAAAATAAGAGATTACACCACAGGGCATTTTGGCTTGAATTCGCACATAATGTATGCAGTGTACACTACTTTATGCTACTATAAAAATATCAAGAAAAACTGATGTGCATTGACATTGTTGGAAAAATCTGCAGTTCAGTATAATGAAACAAAAGAACTTACAATCAGAGAGGACACATCTCCATCCATCAGCATAAGGTAATGAAAGCTTAAAAGTGTGCAACTTACTTTGGCCTATAAACAAAATACATAATTCCCCTGAAAACTATTGTTCAGGATCTTTCTGCCTTTATGTTTACTCTCTTTTCACACACACTTGCATTGCACATACAATCATTCATCCCTAGTAGTGACTCTCCTGACTGTTTGGATGCTGTTTAGCTGCCAGGTAGTGTTGTTATTTGTATCCCTTTAGTCACTGAGTTAGTCACTGAGTGGGTAATACTGTGTAGTACAACAGTTGTCTTGTCTTTCAGTTAATGCGTGACTCTGCAATTGTGCTTTTTCCTGGTGCCCTTCTCTAAGATTCATTACTTCCACCTGATTCACCAGTGTTGGAAGCAGCCACTAGTAAGGTGCATCAAAATCAGAGCACAGCAGATGTAACACACATTCCTATGATAGGGATGTGCTGAGTAGAAAACTTAGGTATGGGAGAAAAAGGTAAAATGAGAAGTTAAATGCTTGTGATATTGTCTGATGACTGAGATCGCTCCAGACGTGCTGCAGGGCATGCTGCTGAAGTACATCACAGCAAGGTTGGAGGGTTGCCAAGAATACTTTGGTAAGTGTGTGTTTGTATGAGAGAAAGAGAGAGAGAGAGAGAGAAAGATGTAGACAAAGGCTGTGGTGTGCCTAACAGATAGATAGAGCTGTCTGGACATCTGCCAGAGTAAGTGGACTGCATACAGACAATCCACCCGTTACGCCACAGGACTGCTCTCCACATTTTCCCCTTAAAATTCTCAGGTCTGACAACACTAAGGTATTTCTATCTCCTGCTGACTGACAGCCTGGCTTGTTTCAGCCAAATGGTTAAGTTCACTTTGCTTTACAGGTGAAAAAACCCCCATCTACTGTGCATGTCCTGTAAATGCTGTAAGGCATTGTTGTAACTGATCATGTAGTGTAGAATAAGCCAAACACTTAATTCTCACTGTGTATTTTAAAAGGAAATATTGGGAATATTGGCCCTGTATTGTCTTGGAAAAATGCTGGTTTGGTTTCATGTTGATGTAACATGATGCTGACATAGTGTGATGCTGGTTAAATTAAGAACAGGTGAAACATTTCTGATAAATTACCCCTGATAAATCTATAAACTGTTGGCATTTTGAGGTGCTTATATTTTGCCTGATCTCGATGAGTGGCAATATTCAGCGTGCAGTGATGCACATGTCCTTTCACACATACTGTGTTGTGTTTGTGAGTGTGTGGGTAGGAGGTGAATATGGGGGAGGCTGGCACAAACTTTGTGCGTTTTCTATAAACCTTCAGGCCCTCTGTACCAATCTTGGTCATTATTGTATGTCTTGCTATCATTTCAGTGAAACAGAACTTTTTATCATTTCGATTTTTAAAGAATGATTTAGTGGAGTAACACAGTGTGCTTGGGAACCAAGAATGAAAACTCATCTTGCCCAGAGGTAAAAAGAATCAAGGACATTTCATTAGTGTTTTCGTGAAGAGAACATCATGTCACAGAAGCAGGTCCACAAATGAAGTCTGCTCAGGGAATATTAAATGTAGAACTGATGGTAACAGCTGTACTGCATTTCCTCTCCTTGGCAGCAAAGTCTGAATTGATTTCTTAAATCTAATTTTGAATTTTTTTTAACATGTCTCATATTATTAGGACTCACTACATCTACTTGCAGCTTCCCTCCATCTCCTCAAACCTGACAGTAAACTTGTTTGTCTTACTTTATGAAGTGTGCAGCTTCTTGAAAACTACCCAGTTTTTATAGATGTTTTCCAGGACTCACCCGACCTCACACTCACAGACTAACATTTACATATTGATCCATACATACAAAAAAAGGGCACTTAGTCTGGCACAGGCACACAGACACATATGCATAGTACATAACGGCATCATGTGGGGAGGCTGCTTATTTTTCCACTGAGTTCAAGAAGGCTCAACTCTCAGTGAAAACACAACGAGTGTCATATTTATTTATGAATATTAGTTTTGAAAGAGCACAAAGGTCCCCAGGTCTTGTTGATATCTAACCTCTACATGTTTTTCTTCCTGAATATCAGCCGGAATATTTATTTTTGTCTTCATTTCCTTTGCCAAGTTTGTTTTTTTCACCTGAAAACATTAAGCCTCTCTCCTTTTCTTTGTATTTAACTTCTCCATCGCTGCATCCCGCCCTATCACTTTTTATCTCAGACAGGGCTGTTGGTTGCGTGTTACCAAGGTTATGTGGATGTCGTCGTAGCGCTGTCTCAGTGTCCGTACCTGGATGTCAACTGGCAAGACAGTGAGGGAAACACAGCTCTCATCACCGCTGCACAGGCAGGTAAGTTAATATATCACACAACATAGGCTGGTTCACAGTACTGCTGAACACACAGTCAGTTTGGCACTAATGCTGACATGTCTGTCACAGATATGGTGCACAATGAGTGTTTAGCATGTATTTTCCAAGCCAGTGTCATGATTACAGACTGTGTATCGTGGCCTCCAGTAGCGACCGCCCCTCTCTCTGTTCTTCAAGGCCACATAACAATCACCAACTATCTGCTGAACTACTACACTGGGCTGGACATAGAGAGGAGAAACTGCCACAGCTTCACTGCTCTGATGAAAGCTGCCATGCAGGGCAGGGTGGATTGTGTGCGCTCACTCATGATGGCAGGTGAGTGTGTGCAATTAGACAAAATGTACAAGCTCTATACCAATCAGAAAAGAGAAGATGTCTAGTTTTCATATGCAAAAACAAATGTCTGAATCTTAATATGTTTCACAAGTTTGGATTGTATAAATAACATAGATAGATTGGTTCAGGTATCCAGTAGCAACAGCAATGATTACCAAAATCACAGCACCCAAAGTAAAGAAAAGTGTAATCACCTGGGTTTTTGTGGAGGCTTTTTTGATTACACCACAAAATATGTTGTTTACTCTACGATTGCTTGGCCATCAGTGCAGTTCAGCAAACTAAGAACTTATTTTCAGAATTTTTTGTGGACAGATGGTCAAATTGTTTTGGCCGTGATACAGATTTATATTATTAGAACAGTATTCTCTTTTTAGCCAAAACTACAAAACTAATAGGATTGATACCTAATTGTAGAGGCAGGGGCTTCATTCATTCATTGTCTACCGCTTAGTCCCCGAACAGGGTCACGGGGGGCCGGAGCCAATCCCGGCCGGCAATCGGGCGAAGGTGGGGTACACCCTGGACAGGTCGCTAGTCCATCGCAGAGGGGCTTCAGTGTCAGGATTTTAATTGACTTTTATGACCTTTAGTTTATCAACATGTTCTTTTTGCCATTTTTACATCTTCTAACTGACCCCATGAGAATATTATGAGAGTGGTGTGCATGTGTTGTCCTGAGCACAGCGAGGCTGCAAGCAGCTTTGAGAGAGACGTTTCTTTGCCCTTCTCTCTACTTCTTGGTACATTTACAGTTTTTCTGATTTCCTAAAGCACTAAACCCCATTCTCAAAACAAAACTGTCAACTGCCAAAGCTCATTTGTCAAACGAATCACTCTTTTTGCAAAACCTTAAACAATACAACAATAATAATGTGACAGAACCAGAACTGAGCTGAAGGTTGATACCAGTGAAGAATGGGAACAATCTGAGAGGCAGAGGAGGAAGACTGTGTGTGTGTAAGAGGTGGTGAGGGAGGAGGAAGAGGTGAGGGAGGATGTTGCCTGAGATTTGGATGGAGTCCTCTGGGCTAATCTGGCACAAAGCCATGATGCTGAGGCTGAATAAATCACTTGTTGACGTTCATTCTACAGTTACTGTACACTTACTGAGAAGGTTACTGTACACTGAATCCAACAGACATTCAATATTGTATTGCTTGCACTACTGTGTGCAATCCCAAAACTGTTACTGAGTTGTGAATTTATTTATTGATTTATTTGGAAAACACAAAATGCATTAATTATTATTATAAACAGTAAACATTTTTTTCTGCAGCTACATGCCCTGCGCTTTCCATTTTTTTTGATTCAGTAATGATTCGGTAGTGTTTTTATGTTGACTGGCTTTGTGCATGATCTGTAAACACTGTTTGGTTTTGTGCAGAGGTGAGACTGTTTTGAGGTGATTGATTTTGCAAGAAGAGTCAGAGGTTCTGTGAATGAAAAATGGGTTTTGTGTTTACAGTTCTGAGAAAAGGGTGGAAGGTTTCAAGAACTGTGTCTTAGCAATTGTGAAAAAACTAACTCTTTCTTTTTACCAATATCTTTGTGAATTCATCTTCTGATTGACTCTTTCATTGACATCTTGTCCTTTCTTTGGTTTGTCTACCAGGGGCTGCGTTGAACTCGAGGGATTTTGGCCGCCACTTTACTGCCAGAGAGTGGGCCTTATTTACAGGCCGGTATGAAACGGCCTGGGTGATGACACGGCTGATGGAACGACCCTGTCCCCGCCAGTTCTGTGATACGTACAGGTAAAAACTCATATCTGGATCACATTGTTTCTCCGTTACATGCGATATCACATACACCCCTCGTAAGAACTCTGAAGACGTGATGTGTATTGTAGCTGCACTGTAGTATTTTCAAAATTATGTTCCAAGACAGGGAGATGGAAGCTGGCAGATTGTCATGTATGATTAAAATATTACTGACTAGTTTTCAGGGATAGTTTGCATGGAAATTTTAAAGTTGTTTTTGCTTTGTTTACACTCAAAAGGCACAGAGTTACTGTGGAAGTCTTTGCTTAGACTCTCGAATAGTCAACATCTTGAACTGCTTGCCACCTGTTGTTTACTGCAGATTTAAGGACAGAAATATCTTGTACAAGAAAGATGCATACAATCATACAAATGCACTGAGCAAGACATCATAGAATGACACCTTACACTGTGATTATAAAGAGTAAATGCTTCAGTACCGTTGTGTAGTGAATTTAAGTCCAACTTGTTCTCCCAGTCTAGAGTGGGCCCCATTGGTATCACTGGTGGCCAAAGCCCAGGAGCCTCGTGGCTGTCTGAAGCGACTGTCCAATACCATAAGGAACATCTTCAGCATCGCAAATGTCACCAGCCCTGAGGATGCAGGTGTTATTGACCACATGGTTTCTATTACAACAGCTATGAGGAGCCCTTTCATTGCAGTGTCATGCCACACAGTGAGTGATTAAACTGTATCATCAAGCATTTAAGCAGCGTAAAACAGTATCCCAAGACTTCCAAGAATGAATAGCCCTCATGTATTCCCTAACAACTACAAGCATTTGTCAAACATATACCGTGATAAGGAGAAGCTGCGACTGTAACTGCTTTTTGTGATAAGGAAACAGTTAGTCAATAAAGTTGGTTTCCTCTACACCGTTCCCGGTGTTGTCTGCACATGCTCAGCACAGTTGGACATATCAGGGTTTATTTTCTTATATTCTTGCACAATAAGGATATAAACCTAGACGGTCTTGAATTGTGACTAAAATAGTCAATATTTGTGTGTTTTTGCTAGGGTTGAGACAATATGTTGAAATTCAGTATCACGATACAAGAATGTCACAATATGTATCAAACCAGTGCTAGAACGTACAAGTATTCTGCATCTAGTCATACATTGTTGTCATAGAATTTTTGAATTGAATGAGGTCCTCAATGAATGTTCAAATTTGCCAGTACTGAAACACTGAAAACAAAATGGAGACTGGTCAATAAGACCATGTTCGAGTCACAATTTTTGCTATGCAGTTAATATTAGACCAATATAACAAATTAAACCAATTGGAGACTGTTGATTTTGTTTCAGGTGTGTCCTGACAGTCCCCCAAGTGTGGGCAAACGGTGCTATGCAGTTCCTGAGATCATCCACCAGCAATGCACCAAAGAGCTCTGCTCCATCAACCCCGATGGGGTAGGCTGCTACCTCAAACTCTTCCAGAACTCACGAGTCACACTGGTGACCAAGAACTCAGCAGACCGCCAGGCCAGCCTCCAGCCTCAGGGCCCAGTGCTGCAACATAAGAGTTCCAGCCTGGGTATGGTGGCACGTAATGAAGACCTGGAGCTGCAAAGAACCAGCATCCTGCCCATGCACATGGTGCTGAGAAGGAGCAGTGTCAGGCCAGGCTTCAGCATTCCCAAAGTGAGGGTGTCCAAGGCACCTACACCAACTTACCAACCAGAAAGGATCCAGAGGAAGAGCAGCGCCAAAGATGGAGGGGGTCACCTGCTGCAGATCCCGCAGTGGCGCTATAAAGAGCTAAAAGAAGAAAGGAGAAGAGCCGAGGAGGCTGAGAGGAGGAGGATGGAGGCTGTAACCAAGAGACATGTTGCTACTGTGAGAAGAAAATAATATTATTGTTTCAAAGGAAGTGATGCACACTGATCTGGAAAGATACAAATCTGTAGTGGTTCCACTGTTTTATGCTGGATGGGTCATTAGGTTGATAAGACTTGGTTCCGATGTTTTCTACAGTCTTCTGAGCTCAGGGTGAGCCTAGCAGAGGGCAGAAGACTGGAGACAGACTTGTCTGCTGAGGTTTGCACCCTCAGTTGAATTCCAGTCGCTGTCAGAAGAACGTATGCAGGCTGGCCTCTTAAAAAAATGGCCCTGACAGTATTAGAAGTACATTAGAAGCTCAGTGTCCTTTGTGATGTCAAACAGTGAATACCCAGGGGATTTGATACTTGAAATCTTTATATATAACTTATTTTTCATATTTATTGGTTTTTAATGAATGGTCAAGTCTATATTTTGATACACTATGGGTGATCCATGCAATATTGTCTGTGTAATGTGGCACTGAATTGGACCAGAAGACACTTAAGACTTTTTTCAGACATTAACCACAGCAAACATGTTTATCTTTCTGCTTAAAATGGAAGCAATTTATTATGGAATAATGTCTGCGGTAGAGGATGCTAAGGGGCATGTTATATTGGTTGTGAAAGGTTTGTAACTGCATTTGTGATAGCAATATTTTAGATGCTTTTTGGTTTGCTTTATGAATACAAATATGTCAATGTATTTTGCTTATATTTTATAATAGATTTTATTGCTTTTTGATGACAAACCCTTTTATTCTTTATCCAGTATGGACTTTTTCACACACTGAAATATTTTAATGTTCAAAACCCAAACTGAAATGTAGAATACTACTGTGATGTAACATTAAAATCTTACCAGGTGTGAAAGAGAGTTAAAATTATTTCTCAAATGTTTACATTGCAAAACCACAATTACACAGGTTATACTATTGATTAAGTATCATCCAATGAGTGAGATTCACGTGCTTGGTCTATGCAGGGTATGGATGATTTGAACAAAATATACGCTTGTGCAAATAGTAATGGCAGATATGGTTGTGATTAAGTCAATAAATGATGCTTGATTATTATGACTTCAAATGCCTCAGACATGCTGGGTTGTAAAGTTAATAAGAAGATGAGTGTAAGTTTAAGTTTGGAGGAACTAGGGTCAGCTTCAGTCAGCACAAGTAGAGCTGAAGTGATAATCCGTAGCATATGGACCTTCTAGTGAAAACAGCCAACCCATTATAGAGCAAGAGGTCATGTCCCTGTTTTAACATTAGAACAGTGAAAATAATGAGATGAAAAATAGCTTAAACATAAAGATAGTTTAAACACACAGAGCCACAGGAAGAGCAGTGATAAAACACTGGGATTTTTGAGAACGCAATTTCACGCTCCTAACTCCTCATAGTGATTGCAGCTTAAGTGCCATCCAAGCGTGTGTGTCTAATATATATGGTGATGAGTTGCTAAGGGGTTACAAGGTCACTTGAAGCCAAATTGTTTCTTCATTTAAACTTCATTGACTACAGAATAGCAACCTGCTTAGATACTCCACAGACAGTCATATAAACAAGAAATCCACACTTAACAAACTTTACGTGGTTGCAGTTTTAATACTTCAACATAAAAATGTTTTAATGGCTTTTTGCTGCCAATGGAGCTAACAGTGTCTACTGTATGCTGTTTGTGATGAAGCTTCCTAGGTTTGCTGGCCATGGCTGAAAACTAAGCCTACTGTATATTTAGTTGCTGTTATCAGCAAATGCATTCTTATAAAGTTTCTACAGTTTAATGTGAACAGATGAAAGTTTTCTTTGGAACACAATGAAGTTGAAATACTTTTAGATGCATCATATTCTTATGTATATGGCATACTACTGAATTTATGCATTTGCTCATCTATTCTGTGTGGCGGACTGAAATGCATGAATGTGTTTTGCATGTGTAAATATTGTAGCAGATAATATTCAAGTCATTGTTTCAGCTCAAACTGCTGTTGGTTTAGATTCTAACCTGAGATTATGACTCTCTACAGGCTTGGTCAACGATTCCCCTCCTGCCCTCCTCCCAAATCCCTCACAGAAATGAGGAATTGGCCTTGAGCACTACACACAGTAAAGGTACCACATCTCATCAGAATTAATTTGACAGGTGGCCCCGCCCCTTAGTCCCGCCCCCCACGTGGCCCCCAGGGGTACCCCCAACCTTTCTGCATCTGCTGCTGGAGATAAGGAAGTTGTGACGTATCTGCAGCCAGAGATAATGAAGTCAAGACCCAGCACATCACTAAGGGTTTCCTTGGCTCTACAGCTGCCTGCTGATTAGAGTTATCTTGGTCTGCTAGCTTTGAAAAAGTCAGAACAAATGTCCAAATTGAAAAGACAAACCAGGTGTTCTCCTCCTTGTTGAGCCAGGTGCCGGCACACTGCTGGCTAGTTAACTGTTAAGTATAGGACAGGGTCAGGCCAGCTCCTCTCAACCAAGCCAGCGGTTGTCACAGTATATAACTGTATTTGATAGCGGTTACAGCCCCCACATATGATGGTATAGTTAAGTATTTAACTTGTTCTTGTTAAATTTGAATGTTCCTTATTTGATGTTGTAAAATGATCTATTTAAGAATGATGAGTGTGGAATATAGACTTAACAGCCACTCACCAGGCTATTGTTCATTTATTTTCTGTAGCAAAAAGTAGTAATACAGAATGCCAAACTACTCTCAATGAACAGCATATTACTGCGCTTTGTGGGATATTGAAGCATTAAGGTTGCTATATAACTGAAGCACTATCACTGCTTGGAAATCCTTACCTTAGAAGGACACTGTTTTTGGAGATAAAAGTGTAACTTTCACTCAGTAATGGTGTGTTCACTTATGTACTTATGAGGATAGCCTTCATGCATAGCCTTCACTCAGTTGTAGTGTGTGTGCTTCTAAGGAGCTGTGCTTTGATCCAAAGGAGTTACCATGATTACATGCTGCAGAATATTAAACTGTTTGAGACATTGTAACTGAAGCACCAGCATAGTTTTATGTACTTATATGGAAGTATAATCTTCACTTAGACTGAAGCATCAGCACTGTTTTATATAAATGTACCAAATAAGGAATATAACCTTCAATTTTAGTAGAAGTAGGTGTGTGTGTTCACTCAATTCATTAGCAATGTGTGTGTTCATTTAATTACAGAATGTACTACTTTGGAATTAGGGAGTTGTGCTTGGGGGACATATCTTTGGGAAAGTATTGATAATTACCAGCTGCATCCTACAAGAATATCTTTGGGAAAGTGCTGGTACTTTCCAGCTGTATGTTGAGGAATGTGTAAGGAGGCGGGAAGAAATAGTATAAAATACACAGTGTTAGAGATGTAACTTCAGATCATCTGCTGTAGCTGCTTGCTGTATGATCTCCGGATGCGCATCCGTAATAAAGGTACAGTGCACTTTAATGGTTGGTGTGTGACTGAATATTCTTTCCATCATCTGGACCCGAGGAGAAGTGTGAGACTTCGACAAATGGGGGCTCGTCCGGGATTAATGGAAAGGCCATTAATCAGGAAACTGGAGTGTCTTTTAGTTGTCAAAAGTCTGAGACAGCCGGCTG